GCAGGAATTGACAAGATGTGTCGCAATGGATTGGTCGTAGCAAAAATAAGGTTAAAACTGAAGAGTGCATATTAGTGAGCGGAAAATCTAGCAGTCATGAGCTGGCGACGGCATTCGTTGGAGTGTTTATAATATGTCTAATAGGACTGCAATTTTGTTTTTTGGGCTGCAACAAAGCAAGATCCAGAGGCAGAATGTCCCTCAAAATTTATTTAAAAAAGACTTTGTGTGGTACAAGTTTGATAAGGAACTAAATTTTAGGAGACATTTTGTTTTGGCATTTTGTACACTATAACAATTAATGACCTTAGAATATGGCCGACTTAAAACTTGTGGGATCCTATTACGTTCAACAGTGATGAATAGGGCTAGCTTTTACGGCAATATGGTAAGTCCTTGTCCATAATTTTTGTCTATTACCACAATAAAGGCCAGGAATAAGGCGAAAATTGTGCTTTTTATCCTTAATATAATAAATTTTTCATTGTGAAGTATAGGCTGACTTTACTACTCTCTAAACGAAACCACTTGGTATTTTGAATGCCATTTTTGTGCAGTTTTGGCCATTTTTAGGGTGTTTAAGTCGCTAATGCCTTTGCTACATCTTAATTTTCGAGAAACTACGCCTCTGTTTATAGGCGCTTGGTACGCAGCCATGCATAAGACCCCTCAAGTTCATTGTACCCATGAACTATTTAAGGTGTTTTCATCTGAAATATTTGAGATTGTGCACTTTGTTTGGCAATTATTGCATATTTTAGCTGCATAATTTTCAGCATAGGTGGTGATTGGAAACTCGTGTCTGCCTGGTATTGCTGAAAATCCACTTTTTCGACCTAATTTTTGTCGATATGCCACAACATTCAGGCATCTAATGCTCTGCTACCTTGTTTTTACTTTGTTTTGCTAGCACTTTGTTATAAAATGTGATGCAATTGCGAAAAGAACTTTATTAAACTGCTTTAATAATATTGTTATTGTCCGAAATCTTTCCAGCACATTGCATTGTATGGTTCTTATTTAGTGGTGTATTCGTAAAAGCAAATTCGAACCTTACTTGTTTTCTTAAGTAAAAAGCACTTTTTCAAGCCTTAGGCTATTGTCATGAGAAAAATTTCATTCTTTCCCATTGTCAATAAATGCCAAGTTTTGCATATTGAGGCGTTTTTACATTAACGCCTTGATAAGATCTTAAAAAAGATGTACCTTGCAGTTACTGGTCTTAAAATCAACGTTGAACTAAGATTTTTCAGCTCTCACACCCTCCAAGAACCACAATCAAGCTTAAGAAAAACTTACTGCTATTTTGACTAGTTAAATATTTAAGGGGCTCTTTTCTTTTTTGCCGTTGTGTTAACACTTTTATTACTTTTTTGCTTGAAACGACCTCACTTTTCAGATATTTATCTAAGAGGTTTCACCACCCTTCTTGTTTTATGAAGATACCGCCCTTTTTAATCACTTTCTGCTCAAGAGATTCATTGTTCACCATTCTTTCTGATTACAGTAACTTCAAATTTGGCATTTTTTGTAAAAAGGTCTTAGCTTAATTATGATGCATTACCCATGGTACGTTAAGGAATAATTGAGGACAAAGCATACATGTGCTCAACATTTTATTGTTTTCTATCTAATTATCACTTAAATCATGTTTTAAGTAAGAAGTGACGCTTTTTGAATGTACGTCAGAAAAATAGATTGCACCTAATCACAAACATGCATAACATTTTAAGCTCAAAGTGAATCCATCGAAACTTTCACCCCTACACAGTTTTTCACCCATAGACCATTATTCTTAGTCGGGCGCCTAACCCTGTTGGATAAGTGATCTATAGGCACTCCTAGTTTTTCTATACTATTGTTCGGGTATGTGTGGGTGACTAGTGATGAGGATTCGTGGCAAGAAGATAGGCGGGATTACTGATGGATGGCCAGTTGTTTACCTCATCCAGCTAATTAATAGGTTTTGGTTGGATGCAGATACGGGTGTTCACCATTGGTTATCAGCAAAATAGGAATTCATCACTTCCATATTTCAAAATACTTCGTGGAGGAATTAGAATGCCAAGAGGAAGAGCAGATCCCCCCAACAGAGGACCGGAACTTTGTAAGTTTTGTTCATGGCCATTGCTTCCCCAATGTGATCGGACTCCAACTAATTATCATCATTCGACATATGCCTGAAAACTACTATTAAATTGGGGATAGTCATAATAGCTTTGAGTACATTTTGTAGAACCTGCAATTATTTGTAAAGGTAATGTTTAACGAATTGTTTTGTTAATCGTCCTGTAGACCTTCTGATTTCCGTTGCGATAATTAACTTCATGGGTTTCGTTCAGTGTTAAAAAGGAGAAGAATTACGTTATCTCGGAATTTAAACAAATACAGTCCTGACAAGCGGTCGAAGGCAGGGATTTTTGTTACTTTCTGTTGAAAATAGTCTTTTAGCTACAAAAATATTATTTATGCATTAAGTCGACAATTTATGCTTCTCTTGTCTCATTCCTTTCATTAGTCAATGATGTAATTGTCAGGTCTAATACATTCAAGGCTGTAGTTACGGGGCCTCCTTCGTTTCTGTGACAAACTCTAAGTCAGTTGGGAAAACTGCTAGCGATACTAGATGCAACACTCCGATAATCTCAGATCTCCATCCTAGGTCCCCAAATGAACTGTGAATTATGCGTTCGCCTAGAAGCATATAAGCGCTTGTTAACCACTTTCCCCCCTTCTCTCCGAACGAATAGTCACTCAACAAAGTTCCCATGTGCGGTGGTAAAATAACAACTTTCACTGCTATACCGAAAACGTAGGCTACTATTTGCATGCATGCTATTCATGAACCCCTCTCTCAGGCTCAACTTTTCCACTTAACTTATTTCTTACCAATTTGTGACTATTTAAAACACTCCTCACAATATTCTTATCTACTTCTTTCGGTTGGGACAAATTTCGTTGGATGGGGTTAAAAAGTGGTTCTGAAATTGCTTCAATGGATGCCCTACGCACACCCAGCACCTACCTATCGATCCGTCCCACAGCCAGCCAATCAGGAAGTGGGAATCGCGTGCACATTGCCTGGACTGACCCTTTACTATCCCGCGTGGGTGGGGGGAGGGTTGGTGTTAGAATGGATGCATGTACACGACTTCCCCTGTACCGCCTTCACCATTTCACTGGGACACGGAAACTGAATTCATTGAAAAAGTGAAAAAAGATACTTGAGAAATATTTGGGATAGGCCCTACCAGGCCGTTTGTTAGACTAGTAGCATCCAAATACTTTACTTCGTAATGCACACCGTTCTGATTTCCGTTTTTAATTTAAAGTCAACCTAGAAGGCGGGTACATCACCTCTTTCTTCCATGACGAGGAGTTGATAGAGGTTAATTCGCACAAGCCTAATTGTGACTCCACCTCGGAGTTATGAATCTGGGGTACTTATACAGCTTTTCTTAAAAAGAGTAAATGAAATAATTTGATGAGCTCTTGGGAATTGGGTACATTCTAATGGGCCCTTAAGTGCACCTATCACTAGGCGATTGAATGTTCATTTTCCTTCGCATCGTAAACGCTCAAGGGGGAGTAACCTGAACAAAGGTATGAAACCTTGGGAAAAGTATATTAAAAATACACTTTTAGGCAATCGACCCTATTTTGACATTTTATTTCCAGCGTTTCTTTTTCACCTTTTCAAGGAACACGTTCAACTTCTGGTCAAGGTCGTTTAATACCTTTACAAAATTTAGGTTCACTCAGAAAGCATAATTCATTCGAGAACACCACCTAATGTCAAAAACCACATCATCCATTTGAATATCTGTGTACTAATACCAAGATTGGCTTGCGCCTCGTGGTAGCAGCCATTTTGTAACCCAGATCTGATTTGCAATGCCATATATGGACATGCTGCAATTTTTGTTGATGATGTCCGGCTCCAGCAATTTTCGGTCGTCCAGAAGGTTGCTTCCTCTCCTTTTGCCCCAGGCAAATTGTTCTCACGGCGACAACAGCAGCATACGGTTGCAGTTTAAAAAAAATGCTCTTTGCTAAAGACCTGAGTTTCTTGTGGTCTCGAAAGGTTTTATCGGACTAGCAGCCAGTCTGAAAATTACACGTTGATTCGTAAATACTGCCAAAAAATACTAATTTTTGTTAGGATCGATCATCCCTTGTTAATTAACGCAAATACAGTGAGACAAAATACCCCTTTAATTCCATTTTTTAAAGCTTTTTCAAATTGAGTTAAGTGTTTATTGCGTTTCTTTCTTAATCAGTCCAAATAACATTCCAGGTGGACTACTCCGAGAGTTCGGATGAGTCGTCGGACGAAGACCAATTGCTGCTCCGAGCGGAGCTTCGTGAGCAGGAGCAACGTGCTCTAGTCGAACTGGACATTGCTTTAGTGAGTAGTCTACATTTTCATTTGAATTATAGCCAACTCATCGTTCTGTGCTCCCTTCCACAAGTACGCTGCATGCCTGCCATAAAGATCCAGATCTGCTGCAATTTTGTTATTCCACACCTAAGTAACCAGGATCTTCCCAGGTGTTCTTATCGTAAACTAGTGCTTCTATATATAAATAATCTATAAAATTAGTGAGTGAAAGAATGAAAACTGAATGGCCATTTATGTATCCCCTTGAAGAATGCTCCAGTTGCGTTTTGCGTGCGCACTAATGTTGAGTTTGATGGTCTTCTGAACGGCCTCGACGCACCGATTCCCACAAAAGTGATCAGTTTTGCGGCGAAGGAGTTTCTGCAGGTAAAGCGTCGCTTTGACCAAAACTGGTGGATTGGACGGGTGGTACGCGATGGCGCACTGATCGGCTTTTTGCCGAGTCCTTCGAAGTTGGAGACACTGCGCCATTCCATTCAGACCAACCTCTCCCAGCTCCTCCTCTCTGAGGCTCTCAACGTTGCTGCCTCCAGTAGTCCCGCTAATGCCTCCTCTGGCTCTGGGGCCGGCACTAATTCCCTCAACTCCACTAAGGCCTCCGGTAGGTGATTCCCGTCTTGCTTCTGCTCCTGGCCATTGCATTCAACCCTGTCAGCAGAACTTGCGTAAAGGATGAAGACTTTTTTGATCCTATGTCACTACCACCTCGTCAGTTAGGTACTACGTAATTTAAAAAAGTGATGCATGAAAATATATCATTCACGTTGCTAATATGGCATAAAGTAAAACAGAATAAATAAAACTTTTGTTTGTACACATTTCTATATCGTTACACAGAGATGCTTGAATATTAGTGTTAGTGTCGGTGTTACTTTGTCAAATCACTGCATTTGATCAGAAATGTCGCTTGCAAAGTAGCGCTGTTACACTGCTTCCAATTATTAGCAGAACCAGTACTAAACCAGGTTATTTAGCACTCAACAGTAGTCCACAAGCCCTTCTCTCATTACAAGCGCGTATACAACAAGTTTTCCCAAAGTGGTAAACTGAACCAAAAACCTCTGGAGGACAGAGATGATTAGGACCGCTGCAGCTTATTCCAGATGTTTGAATGAACAATGGCATTTGTGAACAGTTGTGGATTGCATGGGTTTCTCTGTTGAAATATCCCATTGTTGGGTGTGAATAGAGTCAGCACGTCTGTGTGCTTGTGTGTATGGCACTTTGCTGGTTCGTCTGCTACCCTCGAAGTTGCATGGGCTAGTGACGAGGGTCTGTAGTGCTTCTTCAATTCACCTTCATTGCAGGTGCCAGTCGAAATCAGTGGACACTTGCTGTCGCTTCAACTTTTAAAGGCGCAGGTGGGACTTCTTTTAATTACACCCTCCTGTTAGGTCTCATTTCACATTTACTGCGAGTTAGCAACGAATATATTTTTTATTCAAACGGTCTCCCATCATTAATTCCTATTAGAGAGCTCATGTTTGGAACACTCAACGCCCTAAAATACACTGTAGCTTCTTTTCGGCTTGTGAGCCTCAGATTTTTGGGGATGAAACTTTCATTTGTGGAAACATTTAAATGTCTAATATTGACACTTCATCCGATTTTGTTATGCGGATCATCTACAAATTATTGGTGTCAACGATTGTTAAAGTAAACTTCACTGATTGATTCTTGGACTTTCGAAGGCGTGTTTGGGCATAAATATGTGGTTCCATTGTATTTGCTATTGTGAGTGCTTTATGAAATTCAAACTTTTGGAGTTGCAACAAAATTTCTGTGCATTGTACAGGGTTGTTCCACCTTACACTACTGCTTCTTTGTTGACGTAAGATCATGCTGCTTCTCACATTTATGCCATTGTTTGTTTATATAACTACGTTCCATTTTTACGCATTTCAGCGTGGCCAGCAGCTTTGGCAAATGGGAACACACCGCACACCAACGAGTAAGCTCCTCTTCTGACTTTAATCAACGCCTTCATGGAACTCATTAGTCTTGCTGGACATTGTAGCAAGCACGTCTTCTTCGGAGATGGAAAACCAAAGGGAACCGAAACTTTAATTACACCAGGTAATGCGATCAAACAAATTACACTCCATGGCCCCTCTCCGTATTTTATTACAATGTGTAAGGCACAACTGAGAGTAGCAAAAAGCAACGCGGTTTCGTTGGAATCATAATGATAAGTGAAAATTGTTGTTGGCTTCATTATACAAAAATTTGCTTTACGTATCAAGGTCTCGGAGTCTCGCTGCCTGATATGGAGTCTGAAAAGACGGCAGCACAGGCAGTTCCAAGTCTGGCAACTACTCTTCCCTCTACGCCTAAGAAGAAGCCCTTTTTCAAAAAGGTAACGCCAATTCTACAATCGCGTTTAATTCCGAACTGGAATTCGAAAGCCTGGCATGATCCTGGAACTCCAAAAGCTATTCATCGAAACTAAGTGTGTCTTTAATTAATTTGGAACTTTATATTAAGCCATTAACTTTATGGATTATAGGAAGTCCCTTATTTTTAGTGCAACAGACTTAAATACCCTAAATGGTAACTCATAGAAATACATTCTCCCATGTGCCCACTTCTATCGACATACAGCGGACCCTATCCCAAAGTCCGCCTTTCGAATGTTTAATTCTCTTGGCCTTCTATTCGGAACGCATATTTGATTCAGCATTGCAAATGAAAATTTACTTTGATGTTATGGTTTTTGTCTTGCAATCTACGCATGAATAAACTATCTATGTGTGGAGATGGCAGCGAGATTAGCTTCACGTAAAATGCATCTACCTTTTCAACCACATTCAGTGAGGATTGGTTAACGCTTTTTTTAAAATAGTATCGCTGTACCTTTATTTCAAATGTAGACATTGACGAGCCGCCATGTTATGACTTTTGTTTGCATCGAAACCCTCTATTAAGTTTATAGTTCATTCCCCAAGGCGTATATGCATTTCTGTGAGACTGAGTTCAAGGGTCAAGCCATATGAATATCGCGCAATACGCACTTCAGGGCTTCACCGGGCCCCCCTATGACCTGGTACCAAATGTACGACCAGTGGTGGTGGTGGGGCCTGCACTCAAGGGCTATGAGGTCACCGACATGATGCAGAAGGCGCTCTTTGACTCCCTCAAGCGGCACTTCGAGGGACGGTGAGTATTCCTATCCTTCCATTTCTTCACCCTCTTCTCACCGCTCCAGCCCCTCCGCCTTCCTATCCCAAATATGTATTGTGTATCTTTTTCTTCATGCAGCCTTGTTGTGACTCGTGTGGTGAGTGATATTTCCGCGTGGAAAAGATTGAATGTGTTGGTGAATATGGACAAAAAAGCTCTCACAGATCGTACTCGCGGTAGGCAAATCATCACAGCCCGTAAGCCAACTTTGCTGTTATTTTAGTAGTTAAGCCAAACTCCTATGCTTTCGGTCTAGGCAATAACAGCAAGAGAAGGCAGTGGCATCCCCTGATTTTACACCTGTTTAATTAGGGAATAAGGCTTTTTATAAAAATGTGAGCATCTCATCAAAAGGCACTAAAAATTGCGCCAAAGGAAATTTTACCCTACTTCGCCTAAAATTTGGTGTATTATGTCACCAACTTGATGTACAATTACTGATGCTCCTACATATTAGTTGAGGTTCAGCGTGAAATCGAGCGGATCTTCGACCTCGCCACCTCAATGCAGTTGGTCGTTTTGGATAGCGAGGCAATCAACCATCCACATCAGATCGCCAAATCCCCTCTTGCTCCCATAATGGTCTACATTAAGATCTCTAGCATCCGCGTGCTCCAACGCCTAATCAAAAATCGAGGGAAAACTCAGAAGAAGCAGATCAGCTCCCAAGTGGCCGCCGCCGAGAGGTTACTTCAGTGTGCAGAGGTATTAATTTGAAAACAGCTGTTGTAAGGCAAAGTTTCTGTCATTGAATAAATTAGATTTTAAATAAATGAAACTGAGTGTGTAGGAAAGCTTTAGGGTATTCATTCGATTGTCTGAGTAAATATATGGTAGAGGAGGTAGTTATATGTGCCTACGCGAGTGTACTATGGTCAGGAAAGTGCTGCATACTTTTGCTCTTGGGACAGGAGAGCTTTGATGTCGTTTTGGAACAAAATAGTCTGGAGAGTGCTACGGAGGCGTTGGCGAACTACCTCGAGTCCTACTTGAAAGCACTTCACCACTATCGGGATCACGGTAAAGGTGACCGTCAGTTCTCCCCTCCGCCGTCTCACATGAGCCTAAAGACTAACGAGGCCAAGCCCTTGCCCCCCATGATCCCCGGTCGGCCTGGGCTCAACATCGCCTTCGCTGTAGGTCTATTCAAACCTCTCTATACGGGGTGCTGGTTTTAGTTTATGCAGTGTCGTACTAACTTGGTGAGTTTACAAGCGTGAAGTTAAAAAGGGCAACCTGATAAAGTGGTAGAAGTCGATATTGCAAAGGCAGAGATGGGTGAGGGACTCTAATAAGATTCTGCAAATGTGACTCTCGCGAATTCTGTCAGTTTGAAATAGGTTAATGCTTATATCTAATCTTGAGTAGGCTTCCTGGAATCCAATAATTTTACACATTGGGGCTTTTAAACTCGTTTTTTCTCTAACTTTGCTTATTTATGGGGTTTCGGATTCATAACCGACGCGTGATACGAGTGGCACCATTCTCTTGAATGCCTAAATTAAATAGCCTTCGTAGCAATGCGCTGCTTTATTCACAAGCGTACACTTTCACTTTACAAAAATATGTTTATTCCCTTAAACGCCATGAAAACTTACTACCTGATTAAAATGAATCTGTATGGTAATTAACAGTTATTCTTGTTTTTTTTTAAGAGCCAGGAGTTGCTTGAAACTAACAAGGTGCTCATTGCGTGTACTGCCGAATGTCTCAGCAAATTGTACATCCAAATTATTCGTCGTTACAAAAGTAGATGCAGGATTTATAAATTTATCAATCATTGAGATGTGAGATGAGGCGGTGGTAAAAGCTGTGAAATTGTAATAGTTGACCTGATAACCAAATACTAGTGGGCATAGTTACAGCATCAGTACAATTTCTTGCAACAGAGCTACAAATGAGCTCAGAGAATTCACCAGTTTCGATTCCACGTAGTGCAGGATCTTTTTCGCACCTAGTCGGCACTCGCTTTATCTCCTACTCAGGCAGCGGGCTCAGCCGGCTTCCAATTGCAAGAACTGTCCGCCCTCGCTGGTGATCGCCACGCGGGCCACTCAAGCACTCCGGGTGAGGGTGAATGTGAAGGCGGTAACGAGGGCGAGGAGGGAGATGAGGAGAGGGAGAAGAAGGAAGGGAAAGATGAAGTCAAAAGAGGGGAAGGCGAGGGCGACAAGGCGGAGCACAAGATGGACACTGACAATACTGACAGGGACAGTGGAGGATTCGCCAGTACGGAAGCTAAGAAGAAGCCGCTCTCGGCGCTCAAGGTGGGTAAGGCAGAGGGCAAACGTGAAGGCGGCGGCATCTTGAAGCTAGGTGCGGGCAAGAAGCACAAACAGACCCTGACCCAAATCATCCCTGATCGCGCGCACGCTATTGCCCTCGCTGAGGCGGTGGTAAAGAACGCCAACGCCGCTGCTGCCGCTGCAGCTGCTACTCGTCTAGACGTGCCGGGCGGAGCCACTATCGGCCTCCATCAGTCCCACCAGGCAGCCCACAGCGATCCCAGTGGCACTCCCAAAAGTAGATTCCTTCTTCCTCTTTCCTTTGCTGTCTTTTATCTTTATTTATACTTATCGTGCAGTAGTTAGTGCTAAATGAAGCAGAATGTGCTTGTGCTTCATTTCAGTGGCCAAAATGAGTCTACGCTTTGTTTTATCCTCAATGATAATGCGTACCATCCGAAATTAAACAGTTATCAAAGTCACATTTACTACCATTTAAAGATTGTCATTTTCGCCATTTTGCAAATGAAAGCGCACTTTACTACACCCTGGAATATATGCATTTGCATTCTTCATGAACCTCGTACTACTACTTTTCGAATTCTAAATTAAACTGGCATTAACGTTGCATAAAACAAGTTGTCTTCCCTTCAAAAATACTAGGCTTTTGAGCGTGGTGATTGTTGAGATTTTGCCGCTGAAATTTAGCTTGTATCAGTAAATAGCCAAGAGTTCTTTGGTGTGTTACTCAACAACGGTTGATAGTATATCATCTAAATTGTCGTTCTCTCTTATCAGTTGTCGTACTCTCTCTCACTCTCTTATCGTACTCACTTCTCAGGCACCTTTATTCTTGTTACCTTGAATCTTCCGCCGTGGTTTAGTTACAACTGCTTAAATTGAGATGTAATAAAAAGGTATTGTGAAGCAGCTGTTAAAACGCTGGTCTTGTTATTTCTTGTTCTCTTTTTCGCAATAAAATTTCTGAGTTGCACGTCGATTGTATAACCCATTTTTCATCCTTGAGATGTACTGTTATGTCGCATTGGCAGAGCCTCTCTCATGGAAACGATGAAATTGAATCACACAACTGAGCGGTCCTGATTATGTCTTACACAGTGTCATATGATTTTACCACTTTATTGCCACAGGTTTAAGACACATTACCGTTAGTGAAAGTCGGTCAATAATCCTATGATATATTTGTAGTTAAATTTGAGTTTAATGGCTATGTTTTTTTTCGAGACAGACTTAAGGACTTGTGCAGCAGAATTATGCTATCATCCTTGCTCAGGATTGTATACTGCCAATAAATATATTACGATCATGCTCGTCATAACTAATGGCGTCTTTACCGATGTGGTGGAACAGTTTATGCGAGTCGGTCCTCAAGGCAGGCAAAACAACGTCAAGAGGAGATGGAGAACGCGCGGCGGCGGTCAGAGGAGGCGGCACGAGCAGCAGCGGAGGCGCGAGCAGCAAGCGGGGCACAGCGACAGGAGAAGAGACGCCAGCGACGCCTCCTTCTCGCTGAGCAGGCTGCCGCTGCAGCTGCGCGCTACGGTGGTGGTGGAGCAGTGAAGTTTGGTGATAATGTGAGTAGCGAAAAGGGATTAGTATTGGACCGCGGGTCCAGAGCCCGCATGCCACCCGACGAGGAGTCGCAGAGCTCGCCGGGAAGCAACCTGCGGAGGAACACCTCCAGCGCCACAGAGGCCTCTGGCCCCCTGGGTCCTAAATCACCCTACAACAAGGCCATCCCCCTTATTATCCACCCACCTTCGGAGAACTAAACTCCTTCACCACAAACTTGGTAATACCTACAAATCCCACCTTATTTGGCTCCATTTACGATGCCTTATGTGATCTTTGCCAGGGCCGAAGGCGCCTCTCTTCTTTCACCTATTATTTCCTTTATAGATGAGAATTTATCATGTATTTGTGCTTGATCCATTTTTGGCCGTCCCTCTCGGAGTTTCAATTTCTTCTTCCGCAAATCAAAGACTTATCTAAAGAAGAATTTAATTAGCTGCAATATTTGTACCTCTCACACCATATTTCAGCAAATGACAATTTAGACTTCACAAATTCTTGTTTTTATATTTCAACTTGCATTAAAAATGTTGAAACATCTCTCATTCACGCCTCATCAATAATGTAGTACCTTAAAGACTGCATTAGTTTTGGATTTCACACTTATCGCGGCTACCATCGTAGCGTTCCGAGTCCTCCCTAAAGTCGTTATGAGCCAAAGTGGGAAAAAGTGACACATTGCCACCGTGCAGAAGAGCTGGGCAACTATTAGCACGCCTCAAAAGTTATGCAGCAGAGTAGAAGCACTACCTGCCGGGGCTGAAGTGCCCGGGCAGTCAGACACGCCGCTATACAAATCACCATAAGTGTATCGGGGATGGAATTAGCTTAGGAGTCGTGTAATGTCTGTGTAATTCAAAATAAATAAGACTAAAAGGATTTCTGAACATTAACGCTTTGGAGAACGCCAACAATTCATCATCCCCATCATCGTTAAAAAGAAACGGAGGTGCATATTTCAACGTGTCAAGCTTTCATGCCTTGCTAACTCCAAAATCAAAAAGCGAATGCGAGCACTTAGCATTGGTCTACATCAACCCAATTGGATCATACTTTGATTTACGGAAAGCAAATGCAGACGGCTGATCTCAATGCGTTGTACCGCCTCGGTTTTGCGTTCAAAGGCGAAGCGTGCATCCCAGGCAACCGCAAGCGATTCCACCATAGCTAAATTTCGCTCAAATACTAACACCCTAAATCTCTTAGACTTATATCGTAGTTCAGCGCTAACATGCTGCAGACACGTTCATAGCAAAAGTCTCCCTCACATGAGAAATAAAGCACGAATAAATGGCACGTAAGTTAGGAAAAGTGACATTGCGGATAGCCTCGCTTTCTTTACTTCCTTTGTCATTACCTAGATTTCCTCGGATTTCGCCGTTTTCTCGGCTAACTTTGCAATTCCATCTTATCACTTGAAGCCTTGTCTACTGCTTTTCTGAATCTACGAGTAAAATCAAGGTAAACAATTGTCATCGTAATTAACGACCCCACTGCATCAATCTTTGGCAGAGATTTAGTTATTTAAAACCACTTTGCATGCACTAAAAGTTCAAAGTGGAGTCGGCTATTTCAGGAAGTTGAACATTCGCTTAAGAATTACTGGATGCTTTATTCATGGCTTTTTCGGAGATATGGAAAGTTGTTTGGCGTCTAACTGGTGTCGTCTTTGCATTCTCCTTTGTTTATGCTCAATTTGGGATATTTTGCAACGGAGGTTACGTTATTTTCCGTCGCATCCAGACTGACGTTGATATGATTCGATGATTCGTCGTAGATCCGCCCTCGTCTTTTAAAATGTCATCGCTGATAAATGTCTCACTCCTTTTGCTGTATCGCACCTTGTATGCGCGAAGAGTGGTACTGTTGCAGTTGAGATTATGAAAATGACCATCACTGGACCTACGTAGATTCGCTAAGCCTTTGAATCTGCTGACTGTAGGGATAGGTGTGTTGACGAATGAGTTGGAGAACTATGCGAACAGTGCGCATGCTGCCTGGTCTAGTTATTTTTATGCGACGAAGTAGAATGTCTCCGCCAGTGGATCTGCGAAATGCTCCAAATCCCACCTGGTGTCTTTTGAGCCCTGAGAGACCAAACGCCTGATCAACATCAGTATTTGACACGTCTCTTAACTTCGACCAATTCTCTAGAGGAACCCCGGACTATTTTTGAGTCAAAGCATCAACTTAACTCATTAAAAATGCTTCTTTTCCTTTGAATGGATCACAATTTATTTGGGTTTTCAAGATATATCGTTCATAGTCATGTCACCTAACACTTCCCCCATCAGAGATGATGAGTTGGTGCTTTAGTATTTTTGATGAAATATACAAACAGGACTTCTACCAGGAGTTTCAGATGCCACCAGAGTCAAGCCCTTTCCTAGTTGGCAAATATTCACTGAGTTACGCTGGGATAGGTGCAACTCAAGAAACTGCAATACGGTCGCTTTGAAAATGGCGCTTTGAACAAAGGCATCCTTAACATTACCAAAAAATTCTGCAGACTTTTGAGGGCATCGCAGTCTATTTTCGATATTATGGAGTGTTTGCTTTAGTCAATTTTATTAAGAAAAAAAAGCCTTTTTAGGCTGATGGAGGTGATCATCAGCAAGCAATCTGTCATCGCAAGGAATGTGAACGACATTGTAGCAGTGAACGGCATTGCTTTGCTGCATTTGATAAGTTGATAGATATGACCTTAAATTCGAATTTACCAGACGTGCGAATTCCGAGGTATTTGCGGAAAATACCGAACCTGGGAGAGCCATACTTCCACTGACATTGCTGTCGACGAGACCACGGTACCAAGTATTTTTAATCAACTTCACTGTAAGGCTAAAGTGCGCTATGTGCATTATTTATAAAGAAGAATGTTGTGAATGTACAACCCCTGGCGTCTTTCCATGCTCCTGTTTTATCGTATCACTACCACAGGCGACTAATCGTGCTGGGTACAGCTCGATCATTTCATTACTGCATTCAATTAGTCCTAGGTAGGAGGAACGGTCAAAATTATTTAACTGGTATCTCCTCATTGGTTGCGAATTCGTCTTTTCGTTAATATATGTGTTTTGAACCACAACTTCCAAAATGTTGCTTCGGGGCTACATTACAAGTCCTTCTTGAGGCCGTAAGAAATCGTAGTAGCATGGCAGAAAATAAACGACTGAACTGAGGCCACCAGCAGGACCCGGAGGTCACACCGCTGGACAGAAGTACAGCCCGTGGAGACTTAAGTGTCCGCGTAAGTAGCTGCAGGTTTAAGCAAACAGTCAAAGAATTACAGAAGCATAAAAATTTTTCCGATATTGAGATTTAGTTATTTCAAGAATTATTTGTGATGTAAGAGAACTGAGCTTCGGTTGAAACACAGCCCTAACAGATGACAAGGTTCACTGAATTGCTTTCAAGTTATCCCATTTTTAATTGAGTGCATTCACATAGAGTAAGGCATGGACTTAATTCTAAGGTACGGAATCCAGTACTTCCCCTCGCAACGATGATTATCAAGCACCATAGGAATATGGCCCCTCCTTATCATATTTGACTAAAGGCATAATATTATGATACTTAAAGTGCTCGGTAAATTCTCAGTTTTGGCAGCAAGACAGGGGTTCTACCATTGTGCTTTTAACGGGTGGCCTCGTCTCCATGCTATACCACATGCCCCAAGCCCTTCTGTAAGTCGGCAGTGCGTATTCTCTCCGAGCTTTATGTCTTCTTTCGTCTTCAGACGAGTCTCGGGACGCTGCACTACACACTTTTTGGTAGTCATCTCAAAAAAAAGTGATTTGATCGCAGGTCTCTATATTTTTGAAGGTTACAATTATGACAGTTTTCGCCTTTTGTGTAACTACATCTTTAAAAATACTTTCTACACAAGTCCAAGAATAAGCTCAGGGGTTTTTGTTATTATGATTGAGTGCTAACTGTGTAAGACTGGTGCATGCTCTTTATTCAACATTTATTGAACTACAAATCTGTGTTGACCTGTTTTAATTCACTCAGTTCTGTGATAACACCAATAATACGATAAAAGCTCCCAGTATCACAATGTATTGTCTGGTCCAGAGAGAATTATCAATGAAATATGTTGGGTGTTCATATTTCTTTAGGATTTTAATTATTGGGGTTCAAAAAGGCTACTGGTAAATTGTTCGTTATTATAGACAAAATGCGTTCCGAAGTAGCCTTAAGATTATGCAGGAATTTGCCAGGTTGCTATGAATAGACCCACTAATCAAGTTAAACCATTTGGATTTAAACTACACAGAATCGGATTCAAACAAGAAAACAACAAATGATTGCAGTGATTTGGCTCTTTTCATACTTTTCGTTTTGGTAGCGATATCGCTGAGGGCGTGACCATTGTGCCTATGCCCAGCGCCATGGCCTGCGGAACATGCTGGTCCCCGCAACAAATCTGTATGTTAATAATATGTAATACAATAGTGATTTATCCCTCGGTATCGGTGAGGCGCCACTTTTGTACTTTGAATTAGCCCCCTTTGTACCTCGCTGGGTGGGGTGGCCTTTTGGGCCATGCCAATAGCCCAGACACATTCTCCGCGCTGAATATATATTCTACCCGAGTATTTTGTCTTCTTTCGTCTTCAGGGAGTCTCAAGACGCTACAAATACATATGTTGCCCCAGTACTGCGCCTTCTTTCACCTTCAAGTAAGTATCATTGTACTAGAGGATAATATTAACACGAAAAAACAGAGGGCCAAAGTATGTGGGCTCTGATGTCTTCACTTATAAGTCTGTGCTCCTATGTTCATTTCATCTGCGAAAATTTTTACGGCGCGAAAAGATGAGTCGTCCTATATAACAGAGAGGTCTGCGTCGAATAGTTGACTAATTATTAGAATTTTAATTTTGCTTCCTTTCGACGATGTACCCCAATAGGTCTGTATACAATTATACGTCTTTAATTTGCTGTATTTCAGAGCAGTTTAATTTGGGAAATGTTTATTCCAAAGTGGTTTGTTAATGTCACTAATCACTGAGCGCGCGGTTTTTGGACTTCTGAGACTGGTACTTTGTCGCATTTATTTCTCATTCCGAAACAGGCATGTTTGGTCAGACAAAATGTATGGTTTTTCTTGCTTTCTGATATTTACTAAATATAGCTGTTTTTGGTACCCCCACAACCACTGGTTTTGGTTTCGGTGCTACCCAGTTCGGTGCATCCGCTTCAACGAACCAACCATCTACTAGTATTTTCGGTCAACCGTCGACTTCTACCCAACAGACTAACATGTTTGGGGGCTCTGTTTTTGGAGGTGTCACCACACCTATTCAAGGGACATCAGTGAAATTTAATGCCCCTCTGGTAAGCGATACAGTTCAGAAAAATGGTCAAAAAGTTCCGGTAAACGCAAAACATATGTGTATCTCAGCTATGAAGGAATATATCGACAAAAGTATTGAGGTATTCAACGTTTTTACCCCACATTTTGATCTCTAGGAGCTTCGTGTAGATGACTATCTTCAAAATCGGAAAAGTGGTTCCGCTACTGGGACCAAAAGTATCTTCGGTCCCGCGGCCACCACACCGTTCGGTTTTGGTGCTTCACAGACTACAAATTCGTCTCTATTCGGTTCTGCTTCAACATCACAACCTCCCCAGTCCTCCATATTTGGTGCTACCAGCAACACCGGCTCATCAATTTTTGGGTCAGCGCAGCCCATGACTTCCTTTGGGCAGGCAACTCAAAATAGCATCTTCGGTGGTAAACCTTTGTTTGGTGCTTCGACTTCTGCAAATACTCCGCTGAACTTATCTGGAACGCAACAACCGCAAATGGGATTTGGGTTTGGACAAAATACTCAAAGTAATTCATTACAATGTAATGTTATTTACCAATCAAGATTCGATTTTCGGAACACATCAGACTTTTGGGACTCCAACCACCACGACTGCATCATTTAGCTTATTCGGATCTCAGCCTGCTTCTACTCAATCTGGAGGCTTCACTTTTGGAAAACCTGCTGGTGCGAGTATTTTTGGTGCGGCAACGACGACCACCTCAAGTTTGTTTGGATCCTCCACGCCCTTCGGTGCACCAGTAGTAAGTGTTCGCTTAAACTTCACTCTGCCATTTTTGTGCTGTCATAATTCCCTTACTTTTAGGCATCTCAGGCTGGCAATATCTTTGGCGGTATAAAACCGACAGGAACTTCGATTTTCGGTTCGGCAGCCACGGCTACCACTGCTTCTGCCTTTGGCAGTGGATTTAGTTCTGGATTTGGAGCTAAAACGACATCTGCCGGTCTCTTCGGTGCTGCTCCCGGTAAGTTTGGGTGACAGTTTTTTATTTCGACAGCTGTACCACATTCCCTTACTCAGGAAATATGCAGGTCACTTTTTGAGTTTTTTTTTTTGCCTTTGGAGCACAATTGGTATTTGGTTGAGTTATGTTCTTACCCAAATAGTGTCGGTTACTAAATATTGATTTGAAGAAGCATGTTACACTTAAATTGTTAATTATTCCTGAATCTGATCATGTCTACTCGGAAAACTGGTTATGCTCTTTTTGTGCATTACTAATAAATTGTTTTTCATCTTAAAAGTTGTTTCTGAGCTCCATTTTATTGTGTTAATTCTTAGCAGTCAGTAATACGGGCTTCGGCCTTGGTACGACAACCTCCTCAACAATGCAGTCTGGGCTGGGCACTGGTCTCTTCGGCGCGAAAAAGCCCTCACCTTTTGGTGCACCCACCAATGTCACTACTCCAGCCTTTGGTTTTGGCGCTTCAGGTAGCACAACTACCCAGGGTACAAATCTTTTTGGAAACACAGCTGGGTTCGGTCTTGGCGCCACCTCTCAGCCTGCCCAGCCAACAGGAGGCATCTTCGGTGCCGCAAACACCGCACCTACGGGCAGTCTTTTTAACAAGCCAGCGGTTAACAGCTTTGGCCTTGGTCAAACGAATACCTCAACTCCTTCTCTCTTTGGTACAGTCCCAAGCGCCTCCACAGGAACAGCAGTCGGGAACCTCTTTGGTGGAGGCTTGGGCATCACTCCACCGCTTGGTTTCGGAAGTGCGATGGGAAGTACCGCGACGTCCTTTGGTGTTGTAGCCTCCACAAATCAAACTGTCTTGGCACCGCTTGTGGAGCAACTGACGCAAAATGCAAGGGCACAACAGCATGTCCTCGATATGGTGCGAAGCATGCCTTACGGGCAGTCTGCATTGTTTAGGCACCTCACTGCAGAGCCCGTCTCTGCGGCGACATCAACACCTACTTCGGTTCCAGCACATCCTATAAGTTCAGCCGCTAAAGCCTCTGGTGTATCTGTGCTCTCAGCTTCAGCGGCGGCCAATACTCTGGTAGAACTTCATAGAGCGAACTCGCTTTCAGTTGGCAGAAGTCCTGGACGTGTCGGTAACGGGTTGGTTGCTCAAAGGCCCATGCAACCTATGCCAATCAATCGGAGACAGGTTTGGATCTCGTCACTATTTTTCCTCCCCTAATGAACTGCATTTTATTTGGTATTTGCTCTGTTTAGCTTTTCACAGGTTTCCGAGAGGACGATGCGCTTGTATCGGCCCAGTCACCGATCCCGGGTGATCGCAAGAGTAGTGCGCTTGATGGTTTGCAAAATCGGTCTTCCTGTGCCCCCGATAACAACTTCTTTGTCCGTCGTGAAGACTGGAAACGCCTTGACATTCCGCGCTGTGTAAGAACTTCCATAATCGAGCGCTCATCGATGGCCGCCTCTGATTTCGAGCAACAGATCAATGAAACTGATGATGCTAAATCTCGCGGTGACTATCTTCAAGGAGCACTGCAGTTGAGTAAAGGATCAGGTGACGCTAATGCTTCTTCCACGTCAACTTCTAAGGTCCACTCTCTAGATTCACCAACATCTACACCTTTGTCCTCATGTGACTCAACTAGTAATAGAGTGAAGGTGATTCTCGCTATTTCTTTATTTACTGTTTAGTTTTAAGGTATTACGAGTCATTTTATTGTCGCATTAGGAGGGCGAGCAGAAGCAATTGTCGTTTACAGCTTCATCAAGCCCACAGCTCTCTGGTGGTGCCAGTGGGGGTTGTGAACAGCTCGATGCGGGAAATTGGACACTACCTCCTGACGTGACGCTCAACCAAACCACTTTGATTGCCCCTAGTGAAGTGACATACGCAGAGGAAGGTGACTCCCACCCTACGTCCACTGCAAATAAGGCAGGTATACGACTCTCAAAGCCGGGATACTATATGTTTCCTACTCTTGACGAGTTGGATGCTTTAATTGATAAAAATGGACGCTGTGTGGTCCAGGACTTCGTCATTGGTAGACAGGTAATGATAGGCTTGTTTGTGAACGCATTCATTCCTATCCGCTGACACTGATTATAACTATGTTGCCTTATAGTCTTACGGTCATATACTCTTTCCTGGCCTAACGGATATTACAGGCATAGACTTTGATGAAGTGGTTCACATTCGACGTCGTGAAGTTGTCGTTTACCCGGACGACACTACTAAGCCTCCTCAGGGCTATGGTCTAAACCGGAAGGCCGAAATAACTCTGGATGGAGTCTGGCCGACTGACAAATCCACTCGAGAGTTCATCAAGTCACCTGAACGCCTTGCTACAATTCGATTTGGCGAACGCCTTGAGAAGGCTACCCACAAAATGGATGCTTCGTAGGATTATATTGCTTGTTTTATCTTGTTAATTAAAATCCATTTGCACGTGACCCCGAACAGGAATGCGATCTCCCTGTTTCAGGTTTATCGAGTATCGTCCAGACACGGGTTCATGGGTGTTTGAAGTGAAGCACTTTTCCAAGTATCGTCTAGAAGACTCAGATGACGAAGGGGAACACGATGTTCATCACCCATCAAATGTTACTAATGAGAGGCACGCCACAGTTAAAGTTGATGACACACGACTGGTAGGTGCATAACATAATCTGGCGCCACAGACACCAGTGTAAGCTGGGGTGAATTAACCTGTTTCTCTTGTATTCCAATTTATATCTTTGGATCTCAGTAAGAGTTCAGGACTAATTTTGTAAGAGATTTGATTTGTTTTGTCCTTTTTACAATCTTGACGGTTGCAATACTGAAGTGACATATATATTGCGTATTTTCAGTCTTATTTGCGATACTTGGCTTGACATTCGTGATGTGTCCCGGCACCTCACTTTCCCATTTTATTATTCTAGTTGGGTCCTGATAATGACCCTCTCTACTCTTCTCATCCATTTGCCTCCACCAAGGATCGAGAAAATGAGCGTCTCCCGGCCGATGACACGTCGGTTTTGAAAGTGCAGGTTTCTTCTTCGCAAACACCGCGAGCCTTCAGAGGAGTTAGAGGCTCCCTCTTCGTTGCTCCCAATCGGTTTGGCGAGGATGAGCTTGATATTCAAATGGAGGATGAAGGCTCCGACTTTCTACTTCGACGCTCTCGTATTGATCGGGCGGACGAAACACTCCCATTTGGTCGTTTCGAGGGTAGGTGCCCTCTCTTATGCCTATTCAACTTTGTTCCTGAATGCGCCAATGGATATGCTCCCCATTTAATCAGGTCCTTTATTCGTTTATGTTGGTTAATGTCATGCTAGTGAGCTTTTTATTTGCGCACCTAATAGGAAAATACTGTACTTATCACCTGATTGATTGTTTAAATTACTAAAATTACTTAACGTTTGGACGGTTATAGCGTATCTAAGGTCCTGCGATCTCTCACTAGCTTTTCTCGTTCCATGAAATTCTATCCTCTTAAATTATGAGCGGCAAATTAATTGTACGACTTTCATGGCAATGTTCTCGTCATGGTATTATAGGTCAGCCTCATTTGTGATTAAGTCTGGTTGATCACCCATTACTCCGCCTTTTGTCCCACTTTGCAGTTTCCTTTTGCGAAGATTTTGAATATCCGTACAAGTACCAAACTATGCTAGGTGGCGATGAGGCGCTTTCGAAATTTTCAACGCTTGATCTTTTTCTATGGTTTAAGTGTGTTTCGCAATGCAGGCCTCATGGCATTGCTTTGTATTATGTAACCATTGCGTCACTTTAAAACTCTGATTCGATTCCTGACATTATAACGGTCCCAAACGGGTCATGTTCGCCACTGCAAGGGGCTAACACTTTGTAAGTTCTTCTAAGACACTAATCTGAGCAGTACCAATATCTGTAATCTAAATAAGCACTTTCAGTATTTAGTTTATTTGTCCCTTCCATAATTTCTCTCTAGCTTCCGCCCCTCTTGAAGCCGACAATGTGATTTCACAAAAAAGGCTATTATTCCCATCCTTTCCAAAAGAGACAGTCGATGAAGCTCAACATTTACCAAAATTAGAAACACTTCAGTCGATTCCCATTCCGATCCTTGATTCCTTGCCAACTTTCAAGTCGGAGATGTCACCCTGCTCGATTCCTTATGAGCGCATTGCGAAACTGGTTGATGGTGAGTGGTGTTCTTCAATGTTCCATCTGTCATCGTGCCTTGACGCCGAAATTTAACCGACATTGTTTATCAACCGAATAAGATGTTATCTCTCATTCATCTATATTGTTCGACTCGATTGCGTTATTCTGTAGCTTACGTTATTTTTAATTTCGTGAGTTTATGCTGAATCCCAATAGCGTACTCCTATGGTCTGTAGGGTAACAAATTTATTTCGTTGGTCCATTAAAAGGAGCTCTTCCGCCACTGACGGGTTTACAACGGTGTTATTTGGATGCCGGTCTCTGCAGAGGCGATACTGCTCGACTCTCCTGGAGTCTGTTAAGGAAGAAAGGGAAACCACCACAGCTCGTCCTCTTCACCGCTAATCCCAGGACCGACCCTGCAGCCTCAGTGGTCGCCTCCTCCATCTCCTCTATCATCGATCCTCATGAGGAAGTGCGTTTTTATCTTTTCTTCGGCCTTTTCATATCACTACTGAGCACTCTAAACGGATGGATGACTTTTTATAGATCCGACTTCTTTGTTCACTCGGTCTCTCGGATGGTTCATATGAGCTTTAGGAATGCATTTGATGTTCTTTATTCAACATTACCTGCTTTAAAATACTATTTTAGGAAAAAAACAATGTGCAACTATTCTCCGACTTTGTCGGGAGCACTTTTGCCATAGTGGCTATTTAACACTTGTTCCTACTTCTAGGTGCTCCTCAACTCCGCCCTGCGAACATCAGTGCAGACGTCTTTTGAGGCGGGTTCTACAAGTTGTCCCCAGTTCTACCCAGAGGCGGGGCCGAGCGTGCTCGACGCCTACCTGGCGTGCATGGATGGAGCAACGGTGGATAGTGGGCTATCGGTGCGCATGCGGGCCCTGCACCGCTCTCTCCTTCTCTGTCAGGCCCTCTGGGCCCGCCACGGTACCTCCGTCCACACCGGTGGCGGTGGTGATGCCAACGACGCGCTGGGACTGGACGACCGCTTTGTGACACGACGTCGGAACCCCAGTCTGGCAGAAGAGGAGAGTTGCCTCTTTCCTGTCTCCAGCGCTACTGCTACTGCTATGAATGATCTCGCTAGACGTCAGGCCGTCTCCGAGTGGATCAGGTGCAGTTTAGTCCATTTTTCCATTTTATATTGTCGAATCCAATGTGTTCATATCTCTTCCATGTTAAAAAGCCTTATCAACGAAAGTATGTTCCCATTCATTCATCATCCCCACCAAAGCAACGTATTTTCCGCGTTTTTAGATCCGAGCTACGCTCATGGCTTGATTCTCGACTAAAGGAACTAGGTCTGGCTAACTTATTAAAAGTCGAGGGTTCATTGCAGAGTCCGTGGAAATTAGACGAGAATGTCTCCAAGACGTCTATATTTGCAGGGATTTTCGCCTGCCTCTGTTGTGGGGAGCCGGCAGTGGCGTGTCGACTTGCGCTCACTTGTCGAATGTCTCACCTCGCAAGCTGCCTCTCCATGGCCCCCATCAGCGACCCCCTCTGCAAACGAGCCCTGCAGAAGCAGTTGCGCGTGTGGGATGAACTCAAGGTGAAATAAGTGCTCGATATGCCTTTGTGACACTTTACTGCTTGTCTCTCTTACCGTCTTTTTCCTGCCACTCCTATAGGTGCTGTCATTCATGCCCCTCCAAATTCTCCGCACCTATGCCCTTCTGGCTGGCGAAATCAAAATACCCATCTCTAGTATAAAGGGCAGGACAGTTCTAAATGTGCTGGCCGGTGTGCCCTATATGCAGGCCCTCGGTGTCCACTTGTGGTACCTCACTGATCATTTGACCGATCTTGCAACGGCCCTCAAGCTTTTCTCTCACAACTGGCACGTCTGCGACACCGAGATAGCTCCTCCTCGTCCCCTCGATGATAAAGATCTGATGACTGGTTGCACGAACCATGATGACATCGAATATATCCCCACTCCAGGTTACTGTTTGTGTTAATGAGTCTTATAATTGGGTTTGGTTGAGAAATATCGTGAGTTTTGCTAACCTATGTCATAGTCATTGCTATGTTGAGATGTTGATCACAACTGCGGTTTATCTCTAAAGCCAAGCTGTCACGCTCAAGCTCTCGTGATGTTTGCTACCACCTTCTGCGTCTGGCATCACGTCCGTGGCACAGCCTCGAGCGCACCCTCGATCCGCAGAGCATACAGTGTGACCGACAGCAGCAAGGTAGTGGCGAAGCGACAGCGAGCGGCGGCAACTGGCCATCTTCTTGGCACCTCTGGCGTGTACTCCTTTCCATCGGACTCTCTTCACTCAACCCTATCGCCACCTCTCGAATGCATGTGGAGATGGCCAGCCACTTGGAGACCGGCGGACTCTGGGAGTGGGCCGTCTTTGTGCTGATGCACGAGGTCGAACCAAGAGTTCGCGCTGCTTCCGTGAAACGACTTCTCGCGCGCCATGTTACCCTTAAATGCCCACTGCAAACTGCTGAGCGTCAGTGGCGTCTTGACGAGGAATCTGTTAGTCGGTTCAACCAGGCCGAGGCCTTCATTGTAGATCGATTTGGAGTGCCAGCCAAATGGCTCCACGAAGCTAAGGTACTGATTTTAGAAATCGGAGCTTTCGTTTCAAGCTTTATAAAACTTCACATGTTTTCTCTGTCACTTTAAGTTACAGAATACTGTCCATCAAATCTCATATTCATTCTCTCACCTGAAAATTTCAGGCGTCCTTGGCCCGGTCTCTGTTAGCCTCGCAATCCGCTTCAACCAATGTGAAAACTCATAGGCTACTAGCTAGCTTGGAGGCTGCGCATTGGTTGGCGGCGGGCCACTTGGAGGCTGCGCATGATGTATACGTGAAATATCTTCTTCCAGATATAGTGCTTCACTCCAATGCTGTCCCAGTTCGTTCAACCCAGGCTGATGTCCAAATTGCTTCGAAGGGCTCAGCTTTGCTAGCCTCCAAACTGTTGACATCCTTGCAGCCCTTCATTGCCATCCCCCAGGAAAGTCTACCTACTTCATTTGATTCGGGTAGGTTTCGTCATGTCTTGTTTAAAATCTAAGATGCATCAGTACTACTTTTCGTTTGTTTTTTTTTTTCTGCTAGGTGCCGGTGTGTATCTGGCGTATGCACGTGTTCTTCATCTAGTATGTCAGCTTGCTTCCTCTAACAGAGTTGAAGGTGAGGGATTTGAGGAGGACGCCATTGTAGAAGTCAGGCCTGACACTCCTGCTTGCGCAATATCTGGGACTTTAGTGGATCTGCAGGCAAACATACATCAACTTGTTGGTTTGCTACAATCAATGGCTACACCTTCTATCCGAGACCGGTAATTCGGTCTCTAACACAATCATCCTCCCCCTTTATCTCTTTGTTTGGATGGTCACGATTTTTTCTATTTCAGTGTTGTCAAAAGTGAGATGGCGGTGACAATTGTTCGACTAATCTCTGCTTTCTTTCATGACCACTCTCCACCACAAACTTCCAATCCCAGTCCCGATGAGGCTGTTAGTGGGTCGACCATGGGCACTAGCACGTCAGCTGCTTTCCCCGCAGACGAGGAGAGCCTATTATTCTGTCAGCGGCTGAATCTGATTGCGAATATCGACTCGCCCTCAGAAACGAGACTGAGTGAACTGGGAACTCTTACCGCCTCAGGCATAGCGAAATGCATTCTCTAGATAACATTGTGCATAGACGTGGGAATGTCCCAATTGTTAAATTTAAAACTGCCTAATCCCTTGAAAGTAATATGGTTGTGTTTTGTAAAAATTGCCGAGTTTTGGCTGTGGTTGGTTCATTTGAATCTTTTACTTCGTGGATTACTCACGCTGCACTACTACGGCAACAACGATGCTGCCTACTCCTTCGCTTACCACAGTTTCCCATGGTCTTGACCTAAGAATTAGACTATTTTGAAACCTGGAGTAGGTGTACTGAATTGCAGCTAGTATAGTGACGCAATATACGACGGTCAATCCAGTGATCTCCGCAGGTTCCGACGTCTATGTTGTCCCGCCCATGCCACTTCTGTTGACGGTTTGCCATCTCTCTTGTACGTTAAGTATGATCATTTGGGAAGGCTTTGATGCGGCACATTTCCCTCGTACACCGTTACTAAATGTTAGAGCGTACTTTATCACTTTTCTTGCCAGCTCCTGAAATCAAACCTTTTGAATAGTGTTAGGCAGTACGAAGTACAGTGTGCCGGAGAGGAGACGCGTGTTATGCAGAAGAGGCCAGGGCCTAGAGACTCCGCGACTCCGGGTGTGAGAAGACCCCGACGAAGCCCCAAAGTTCGTGCGGTCAGTCTTTTAGCTGACCCAAGAGGGTTTGGTGAAACGAAACAGGTTTCGTATGGATTCGTAGCAAATTCGAATAATTTAACAAAATATGAAGACGACAAGTACTTTTATTACGCATTCAAAGCAGTCTGGCTCGGCCTTGAAGTCTGCAGACCGTAATAATTCTGGCACAGTTTTTGGTGACTTTTGACCCTAAGTGGATCTTTTTTTCTTAAGGATTTAGAATATTAGGGTATGACCTTAGAAAACACATACATATGGTTGGTCAGGTTAAGCACATGTCATGGCTTTGAAAGGCCTAAAATTGCAATTTCAAGCATTTTTTAGTAAAAACAGTGTTTGGTGCACAAACATTTCCCATTTGCAATTTTTAGTTTACTCTTTTAGTACGCACAAAGTTAAGCAAAGGTCGGTTTTGTTGTTCTGGTGTGTCGTCTTTTGGTAGGTCAGGTTCACATTCCATCATAAATCAGTAACTTTCCACCAGAACGTCTTTGTATTACTGAACTAATGTTGGAATCTCCTGCGATCGTCTTTCCTTATCATGTACTCTAGGGTTCGGTTTGCCGTCTCATCTGCTGACGATTCGATTTCCTTTCTCAGGACAATTCATGTCTTTAGTAATTTTGGTTTTATATTTAGATGTCATCTGACCTGTTTGGCTGTTAAATATTAAACATCTTCCCACGGGTTGCACTGTTTATGTGTAAAGGATCAGTTTGTCTTATTGCATATTCACTTTTCCAAATGAAACTGACTGATTATAAAACTATGAAGTCATCTTATTTTTACAGACTTGTTTGTGTCTGTAAAACGTGTCTACGTTTTGTTTCATGTGTGGTTGGACAATCAATTCACTGGCGTTCCGATTCTGTCATTTATTGAAAATTTTGCTTTCAGACATCCACAATTACTCCTGCTTTTGATGCTTTCACAGATGAAAGCTCTATCCTTGGCCCACCGTTTCAAAGTTCTAAAGTCATTCTCGCGGTCTTTTTCATCTCCTTCCGCTATTTCTATGAATGAGTACGGGGCACGTCGATCGAAACTTGCCGAGAAAATTGCTCAAAGTTGCTCGTCCGATCGGGGGTCAGCGTCTCACCACTTGGTAATTATTCCTGCAGCTGAAATCCAGTATAGCTCTATCCATGTTCCATACCAATTTCGGCAGGATTCATACTTTCGATATCTCACTGGAATTACTGAACCTGATGCAGTTCTCTCTCTTGAGATCGCAACAAAGTCAAGTGACATTGTGCATTTCACCCCTCGCCTATTCATCGAAGAGCGGACTTCCCACGACAGACTTTGGGATGGCCCAACTATGGGTGTTGATGTTGCAGCACTTACCACAGGAATTCAATGTACGATCCCGCTAAAGTTTTTTCCCGAATACCTTCAAATGGCGATGTCCGATCTTTCTGATTCTGGTTGCTTTTTCTGGTTTAGCACCCCTTTTGTTGTCAGATCGAAGGCGAAAGCACCGGTGAACCGCACTATATACTCCGTTGTGTCGGATAAGTTTACGGGGAGTCGGTTAGTTCAGTCGAATCTACGAAACCCGAATCCCTTGATTGACGAATTAAGGTTGATAAAATCCCAATCTGAATTGCTTTTGATGAAACGAGCTGTGGAATTGACATCTATAGCTTTGAAGAAAACTCTGTCATCAGCGTATCCGGGTATAAGAGAGGCTGAATTAGCTGCACGATTTGAATTTGAGTCCACATTGATGGGGTGTGGCCTTGGTTACCCAGCCGTTGTTGCTGGTGGCAACCGAGCTAACATAATTCATTATTTAAAAAATTCTGAATGCGTTGAGGATGGTGAGCTGGTCTTGATGGATGTTGGATGTGATGTCGAAGGCTACACCGCGGATATCTCTAGAACCTGGCCCATAAACGGTAATTTAAAATATCCACGATGGACATCCCTTAAAATAGGTCATTTTTCGCAGCACCAACGCTTATTGCATGACATTTTAATCCAGGTGCAAACCGACTGCCAGAAGGCGGCCCACCCGGAGTCGAGTCTCCAAAAGCTCTACGACCTAATGGTCAAGCGGTTAGTCCAATATCTTAATGAGGAGAAGGTACTCACTGCTAGTGATAGCGAGTCAATATCGGTATTTCTACTCTTCTTTGTTTAATGGACAAAATTTAGGTAGGCTCTTACATTTGCCCACACCATATTGGCCACTACCTTGGTCTCGACGTTCACGATACGTCCAGCATTTCATACAGCCAAAGGTTTGAGCCGGGAATGGTTTTTCCTTTGGAACCAGGTATCTACTTCCCGGCAGAAGGCGGCAAGGTAGCCGTGGCTAAGGAATTTCGTGGCATGGGATTGCGGCTTGAAGACGACTACGTTTTTACTACTGATGGGAAAGCCGAAAAACTTAATGACTGTATGCCCTTCAAGGCCTCTGACCTCGAATCCCTCATTCGTTCTCATAGTGGTCAAGGAAGTGCTCTGTGAATGAGAATCCTAAATTCTCAGCAGTCGTGACATACTACGTTGTATAAAAATATTTGCGGTCTTATTTTATGGTTAACATGCGATTCTTATCTTCCTGTCATAGGGTTTTGCATCGGCGAGTTGGCGACGCCAGACGCCTCTGGTGGCGCTGTTCCAACGACTGCAATCATAACTGGTCTATGGTTTGTACATCACGTCGTAGTGAAGATGATCCTAAACACTGGTTTAAACCGTCTCAATTTCTTCCAGTTGTTCTTAAGATAAATAGTATAAAATTTGAAATTCTACGCAGTTGGAACCATGTCAGAAATTGACTAATGGACAAGGCTGGTGGCCTGTCTTGTAATCCCTTCTGGTAACGGTGTCAGGTTTGTTGTTATTGCAGGCTTTGGTAACGCAATACGACGATAATTAGCCAGATTAACCGTAGGCTCTTCACTTAGGCTGGTGGGAAATCGTGCCATGCTAAATACTCCTATTTTGGTACTTACTATAGCGGAAGTTGTTAATTCAAACACCGGTAATCGTTAACATCCGTTTCCACCATATTTATTACCACAATCAACCAAAATAAGTTGTAAAGACATCATTAAGAGTCAAGCTCACAAGCACCGAAACATACCATCCAAGATGTCCTGCTCAAAGTTGGTGTTAAAGGTGCCCGGACTCGGTATAAACAGTTGATCCATAAGGAACATCATGCGACAGTTGCTCTTCGAATCAACATACTGCCCGATAAGGACTTGGTAGCGTTCCAGTCGACAGACCTCGTACTTTCTTGAAAACGTATATAGATGGCGTTTAACACCACCGGTGGGAATTCTCGCGTCAGTGAACCACATTTCCTTTTGCAATGTTTCTGCACTAGGAACGTAGTGGAATCCGTTATCCTCCGAGATGCATCTGGGTTCACCCAGGTAGGGTGTGTGGAGGCACTCCCTCTCATCCTTGGGACATACCTTCAGGTGCGGTCCTCTCCAGTCCTCACAGAGGCTGTTAGAGAGTACTGTTTGCCCGATCACCATAACTGCCTCGATGGTCGGTGGATTCGTGCTGTTCCGACGGATGCGATACAAACAACGATCGCTCCGTGGACGTCGACCAATGCGCCGTGTATGAACGATGAACTCAGACTCCCATGTCTGTGGGAAGCAGCATGGTCTGTGGGTGGGTCTATACCAAGTATAGAGGCTATGCAGACCCGGAAACAACGACAGTAACTGATTTCGTCGCCCAATGCTCTCTGGATGAAAGTCTGATGTGTTTAGTTTGCAGAGGGTGCCCCACTCACTAGATCCGGTAGTTATAATTTTGCCACTGACATCTGTCACCCAAATAATAATACAAATTGTGGCAGAAAAGTACTCGTTTGTTCGCCGCATGGCTGTTTATGGGGCGATGTGGCATCGACTTTGTGTAAGCTTTTACGTTGTCTCCTTATTGGTCATGATTTTAAACCAATCAAAGTGGAGCGCTTGTCAAGGTAACTGAGAGTCGATTCGACTTTCGGGTATTTGAAATCATTGTTGATTCTAAAGTCGGTTCATTATCACTTTCAGACCACACGGTTAGGTACACTTATTAGTTATTCTCACAAGCAAATGTAACGCAACCTTTATCCACTTAATGATCTGCCGGGTGATGTTTTACAGAGAAAACCCTAGGTCACCCTTCGACGTTGATCAAACGAAAGCAATTGCTTTCATAATTGACCTACTCCATTAACAAATAGATCGCTGCTTTACCAAACTGAAAACAATAATTGGAAGTTCGGCGAAACTGTATAAATAGTTGTAAAGTATCAAATGCATATGTACACTCGCAAAGAGAGGCTAGGCACCAGAGTCAGTACAGATGGCGAAGGATACGCAATTATCGTAGAAGGAACAGGTAGCGAGAAGCGCCTCAAAGTGTTGCTGCTCGTCTGCCCAAGCATTGATGTGCCAGTCGACGCCGTAGGCCAATTTGGCGGAAGGTTGGTAGAAGGTAGGTTTAGCGAGCGGACCATCAGGTGACGGCACCGAAAGGCCTGCAGGCACGCGCACAACGGCGAAGCCGGCGTGCATGCAGGCCATTAGAAGCCTGCCCGCACACGGCGACCACTTGTGGCGCCACACACCGCCTCCCTCACTGTGACACACAACGACTTCAGCACTACCACCACCACCAACGCTCCGAAGGTCCCATATTCTTAGCTTTTCATCAAAGCTATAAGCAAAATTTTCGCAGCACCATTTACGGCTCTCAAATCAGGTAACAACCGCCACGCATCATGGTATGCTATCATATTCAAGCGAAAGTACAGAGACTGATTCACCCAAAACCCTACCACCCTATTAGATTTGGTAACAGCCAATCAACCAGCTAAAGCGGACGAAATAATCTTTTATGACCGCGCCATAGGACACCTCAAATTAAAAATAATATACGTGGTTTCAAACGCGATAGAAGCCCCTAGCCTAAAACGCCACAGCAACTGTTGCTTATTCTAGCAGTTCTGTAAGTTAGGAAGCTTCGACTCACCAACCAGTTGAAATTAAATGACGATGCGTTGGAACACTCGAGAGACTGCATACACCCATCTCATGTCTAAAAGGAGTATCAAGATTAAGCATGCCCATTAAGAGTCTGGCGTAAGTAAACATACCTCCTACTGAATGTGCATTTAGTGAAGCCAACACGTTGATCCCAAACGCGAGATATGCAATCATCACCGCCGGATAGCACCAAATTGTCGTCATTCTTGGAAAATCTCACACACCAAGATTCGAATTCATGGGCTTTACAGGTGCTGATGACAGCTCCTTTCGGAGAGTCAACAAGATATATATTTCCTGTTTCATCGGCAGTAACAGCTCTTAATATATGACAAAGCATGTTAAATTGTGCATACTTTGTACCATGAAAGTCAGCTGAAAGAAGCAATTTCTGTGAAACAGAGATTATATTTCGGATTGTGAGAGGTTGTGATGGTTGGGAGGAAATAGTGTAAAGTTCTCCAGAACTTGTTGCAGCAAGGCACAAGTCAGAACACATCCAACATAAATCAAGGACGCCAGGAACTTTGAGCTCATAAGATTTTGCCACATGCTTTTCATCTATCTCAAACCTGACAAGTTGGCCGTTGCGTTTGCCAGTTGTCTACAGAAGTGAACCTATTCATTCGTCAACCACTGTGACTCTAATTCATTGTTAAGTCCAAATGAATTCATACCCACTGCGTATCAAAAAAGCGGTGACACTATTGATTGAAGTAAACACTGTACAAAATCAGCATTATCGATATACAGAAACGTGCGCCTAAGACAACAGATTCGGTCAACTTGGTAAAGTTGGTCCCAGTTCAAGAACCCAAATCATTTAAAATATACCAATAAATAAGTTGAATAAATTCATGTCTATCCAACTAATCTTGATACGCGACTTATTTGGCACACATACCCGAAACCAGACTTGCCTCATCGAGTTCGTAAGATCCAACCAACGCCTGCTCTCCACAAGGTGAGAGCTCGATGGAATCTGTATGCAACCCAAAACGATAAGATCCTATTTCAGAAAAAGCCGCAGACATCGCCTTCGAAAAGCAACCGCTGAACAGACCATGCAAACCGCAGCACACCCCAATACACGATCGCCGTGCTGATCAGCGACCTTGAAATCATTTACCTGTAGAGTTGAAGTGATTTTGGTCCGAATCATGTTTTAAACCTTTCCATATATCGGTATTTCCTAGGGCAAGGCAAGTATATATTATTAAGTAATGCTATTTGTGCCTGGTTTGGTAGGCTACACCCGCAAAACCTTATCCTATCTAAAAACTTACTTTTTAATATTCTTGATCTAAACGGTCGAGAAAATATCTACATTGCATAAGTGGAATGGGTAGATCTCCTTTGTGTGACTTTTAGTTTGGTACACTTTTTCTTTCATTAACGGTAACTAATTTTTGCATCGGTAGTCATAATAACTTTGGAAGGAACCAAAATCAACCTCGAGAACGGAACATATAATGATGGTGATTCCAAATCATAGTGGCACCACTTCTAAATACAATTGCTGTAATTATTCCCTTAAGGTTTGATAGGATTCGCTAGCAATATAATTTGTTGGCAAGCTCTGTCAAAACGATGTAACCGAGACGCCTCACTTAAGACTAGTTGACTTTTAAATCACACAATTTTTATCTCTCATTGGATTACCCTTGAGACATTTATGAAAAAAAAACAAGTTTATCAAATTTAAAAAAAACAATGATGCAAATAGGCCACCTGGGATTTTTTTCTTGATGGGTTTTTCCCTTGCTTTTCATTACTACCTCACTTTCGTACTGTGTCCATCCGCGTTAATTTAAAGTCATCAGATTTCGCTCATCGTCCGGTGCTACTTCTGAGTAAAGGACTCTGCGTTCCCCCCTCCCACGTCCTGTTTCATGCCCTTGGAACGAGAGAGGTGCGTAGAGGATGAAGTCTTTCATTTGAGCTGCAATATGGCTGTTTACAGGTTGCCAATGCTTAAATGGGGATTGGAGTTCATTTCCTCTTTAAGGGTCAAAGGCGCCCTCTCCATCACGTGGTTTTTGTAAACTGGTAACTTATCATCCAGGGGGTACATTTTAAACAAGCACACATCTCACATACTGCAGCCGTAAGGTTTACTTTTTAGACTATTTTGGCACTACAATTGCATGTAGGTTATTAGACGGCTTCTTGTGCATCTATTCATAGTCATAATCATCAGTATTTTCATCACTGAATGGATTGCTGCACCCGATTTGGCTAATTTGTCGTAAATGGTATCCGCCATCGTTTCATATTGTGGACTTGAGCAAATCAGGAAGATGCTGTTTTCAAAGTCGGGGTTATGATGGTATTCAATAAATGCTTCATTTTGTGTCTGTATACTACCTATAATTTTTCAAAATCAGATTTCGAAAACTTGAGATGGGAAGATTTTGGTATCTTCCAGAAAGTTTGTATGATCGCAGAATTTATTTGGTTTCTATCTTGCCTTATACAAAGTAAGCGTAGATTACCCGCCTATTTCCCAGACATTAAAGCTTCCTGTGGTACTTTGCAATACCCGGAGTCTTCCCTGAAGCCGTGATAAGTTAAAGTGGTATGACGACGCATAAATTACTAACGTACAGAAAATTGGGAGACTATTGGTATGGTCCGAAGACCGTGCTGCAGACCAGTAGTACAAGCCGTGGGTGCTGAAACGTCTGTGTGGTACAGTTCAAAATCAAACTAAACATCATTTTACGACAGTCTCGGTCACTTATCCTGGATACTTATTCCAGGACGTAACTTTGCGGTGCGTATAAATTCATTGTTACATTGTACGCTTACCCTTACACTTCCCTTCCTTAATGCATTATCAGCCTGTATTGGTTTGAGTACAGTTGTCAGCGTGTGGGTCATTCTGTGTCCCACCTCCTCACTGACTTCTGTCATTGTAGCATTCCACATGCTGGGTTCATCGGCGGAAATCGTGTTTGCCTACTTCAGAAGCAGATGTTTTGATCTCGCTGACACAGAGGGGGCAGTGGTAACAACGTAATGCACTGCATTGTGTTCCAATGTGGCGGATAGGGTAGATTTGAACAAAGTAGTTTTGCCACTGTTGGAGATCGTGGTAGCACCATCTTCAGGTAGCAGCGCGTACAATTCAATGGCGAAGCCAAAATGGGAGGGGAAATAAATAACTGCAATAGGACGTCGAATATTGACAGCTGTGAAAATGAAAGGAAGTTGTCGTTTCAGACCAAGATTGACGATAAAGGGCTGTTTACCCAAGGTGTGAATGACTATTATTGTCCGCCTGGTGAGTATTCACAATGGTTCTAAGGTTTTTTTTACTTACAAGTGAGAATAAAAGCAACCCCAGCTCCCATGTTGCCTAGAGATCGGCGGTTCCACCATTTACTTAAAAAAGGCGGCTAGAAATATGGCTTTTAAGGGTTGCTCCCATCACCGGTTGACTGGTTGGTTCACCTTGCTGTTAGTGAATGCTGAATAAAGAGTTTGGGAAGGCCTATTTTCTAACCTTGTCTTTGAAATGGTGGTGATAAGTGTAAATACAGCCAGGAGTAGGAGGCACACTTTAGGGTAACACTTTTGAGAGGAGACCTGGAACTTGATTTTGGGCTGATGGGTGCCTCGATTTGCTGTTGTACCTGCTTCTGCAAGTATTTAGTAGTGATGAATTGTGGAAGGTGGGTAAGGCGCGGATGAGAGGATGGAACTGCTGCATCTTCTCAACTGCTTCAATCAGTTTTTTCAGCTGTATTTGAGACCTGAGCAGGCAAAAAATCTGCACTGTTGCAGGGTCAACAGTTTGTCATAGCTATGAGGGTAGAGTCATTTACGTTTATGCCTCCATTCATAGAGCCCATGCGTCGCAGCGCCTGAGAAGGACTCCGATTGCCCACCTCAACACCAGATAGTAGAGTCGGGTCTCGCTTAACACCGCAGTACACTTCACCAAGACTCCCTCAAGCATTACATGCTAGCTCTCAACTGGCAGGGGATGGAGGCCAATGACTACTTCAAGGCGATTTCTGTAGGCAACTATGTGGCCCTGATCTGCGATTTGGATGAGCTGAAAGCTGGTAATACGAGGAAGATAGGATTTCCATACCTATCAGTGCTTGTAATGTCGTTGCATTTATCAATCATCGAGTAATCAGTAGCTTAGTTTAATGATTACCTAGAGCTCGTAACCTGTTCGTCCCAAAAAGGTGATCCTATCCCCAATTTCCTCTTGCTTTAACGATAACATAGCTCTGAACTCCTATAGATCGTATAAAAATTTTAGAAATTGACTTGCTGTGATCGCATAAGTCAGTGAGAACACAAGCCTCTTAGACTAGTAAGCCAGGGAAACAATAGTGGCGTTAATATTTCCGGAATATCGAGGTCTCTCTCAATCCCTTCTGATCTGCTGATATCACTTACAAGCACTTTAATACTCACTATAAGGCCAAGGTCAATTAAAAACCATAAATACGCAGAACCGGAACCACCTCGTGTCTACGATACTCTCCACTGACCACTTAACTATTGCATACTCACTCACACGTCAGCAAATAATGGCAGCCTTGTGGAAGGTGTTCATTGATTACTCTGGCTAAGAGCTTGATAGGCTCCAAGATCATGCTCACAAGCACCAGTTCATAATGGATGCACTTGGACACTATTCGACCTTCCAGTAACCTATGGTCTTTACCTCTCCATGCTGCACCTAAAAGAATTCAAGAGATTGGAGACATTGCCGAGTCCCGGAATCACTCGCTTCTGTGATGATGTTTGCCAGGTATCCTGTTCCCTATCCTCGTGACTTTTCCAGAATTGACTTAATCCTAGCTTATCACCGATATCCTATGGATTAGCAAGATATTTCCAAGGTAAACACCACGACCCCTTTTGGCTCATATAAATTTGTTTGTGTTTTTTGGACTACGTAGTGATAAGCAGACATTTCAATGGTTCATTAAGCAATCAGTTTGTGGGTTACTAATCTTCTTTTCTCACCTACATGGCATTTTGACAGCCGATAAGAATGCCTTGAAACATATGCATCATTCAGGGGCTCTTTTCGAATATCCTTAACAAAACAGGCTTTTAACCAATGCCATCAAGTGTCAATCGGGAGTAAAATCATTTTGAATTTTTCTGACAAGTTATTGGTTCTCTCAGCACTAGTGACTTACCTGCGAAAATGCCCGTCACTATGGCTTATCCGTGATCCACTTCTTGCTACCAACTCTGCCGACTTCTTAGCCTCACTAGACTTTCACCTCTTGATACTCTGCTGTGTGGAATTTGGTTAATCACTTACAAACCTCTTGTGTAACTCCACCCATCATTCAAAAGTCTTTGAGAAAGTAACCATGGCTTCCGATTTCAGAAAAACCACCTCAGTGAAACCCAATTCATTGACAGACTTCTACACTGTATCATTGGCCAGAACTTGCAGAAAGCTATAGGTGGCGTACTACAAGTTTCTAACATTTAAATTTACCTGCAAGTTTACTTTTCCCAAAACCTTCAACTGGCAAAAACATGGAGGAAATTGTTAGCAGCCTATCTACCTAAGCACTTCAGATGCCTTTTCGAGGGTTACAAATCCTTGACATGCGTTTAACGCTGCATCAAATCGCCATTCGAGCCGAACTGGAAACTTGAATACCATCTCACAGCTTACGATGTGTCGAAGGCACGCAACGTGCATCGTCCCGCAATGGACCACTTGATTAGGAAGCCTCAACCCTTGCCCAACATTGATTCCGAACTGGTCATACTGCATCAGCAGTCAATTGCTGTGATATCTCTCTGTTCCAGAGTTATGCCAATCACAGGTGACGTTTACACCAACAAAGAGGAACACCTTCGTGGTAGTGTTTTCCAGCACTTCCATTCGCTTTCGCACCTCAGTGTTCTTGCTACCCCAACTTCGTCTGTAATCTGTTTACCCAAACACTCAGGCCGACATCCGACAATGGACAGTGTTATGCATTCTCGGCCACACGAGTAGAGTGAGTCTTCTGGCACACTCTCCGTGCCCAAGGCAAATCTTAACCACATTCATCTGAACAATGCTGATTCTCTACCTCTTTCCAATAGGTTTACCTTCATGGTTACCAGTGTGATCGCTACACTCGATGACTACGGGCAACACCCATTAAAGATGTACCAACACTAGCAGTGGTTAAGTCTTGGGTATCTCCCTTTCTAGGACCACCGACACTCACCACTGGCCAGGGGTAGCAATTCATGTATGCCTTATTCAGATATTTAAGACATCTGTACTGGTTGGGATCACAAAGACGAGTCCCTACTATTCTGCCACAAAAGAACTCGTGAACGCCTTAACCACCATCTGAATAGTGATATCTTGGTCAGCCCTGGTGTATAGTGGACTGGGATGTTCCCCACTGCCTTAATCAAAACCTGCTTCATGGTGAAAGTGGATACCGGCTATTCACATTTCGATCTTAGGTTTAGTATCACACTCCGTTTTCCCGGTGAAGTGTACATCTAGGTTTTACCTCTCGTGAGGTTGGCCACTATCGCCTAATTCTCATACAGGAGGTCAAAGGTGAAATAATGTCAGAACAATGTCAGAACATGAGAACAACAGAAGACGTGCAAAGCCATAAGTGGCTGGCTGTCTGGAGTTATTGCTTTCCGAGTGACTGCTGAATAAGTCGAGCCATCGGCCAATATGAGTACCCTTGGTCGTTCGGATATAGGTGATCGATCCCTCGTCTAGAGGGTCGTGATTGGTTTCCTTGAGAAAAGATGAGGCCAAATCACATGTGTGCTCGTGCTATCGCCACCCGCGGCGATCGGTCCGCTGGAGTGTCCAACATATCCATATGCGTCCCATCCCAAACACCGCATGAGCCAACTGACTTTCACGCCTCTGCGTACGCCTGCTCAACACTCGACCTTCTATTTGGACCTCCCTACTTTTTCCTTAGTGTTGGAGTTAGAACTGTTTGACCCCTTCATGTTCACCCTACAACAGTCCATCTAAAGCGCTAGGCGCATTCAGCACCAATAGATTAAAAATAGGTCGCGTTGATTAATTCTCCCCTCCCCTTCCCGTATTTCGTGCTAAACTTCACCCAAAATTCTTCCTGCGTCTCACACAGTGCACCCGTGTAAAACATGTTCCACCCTCGCTGGGCCCATCCTACCCGTACTTGCATCACATGCACGCGCTGGACGTCCTGTCTAGTACCTCACATTACGCATCTAGTCGGGGTCCTAACCGCTAAACTTTCATCACCAGCGTGTTCTTTTTTGCCATCTATATTAGTCGTGCCAGAGGCTTACTCTTTCCGTGTTTTTCGTCCAATGCATTATAAACCTCCATTTGTTTGTAGGTTGGGATAAGAGCCTTGCATTTCAGCTGACCTCTGTAGTTATAGCAGGTCACATTTTGAAACTATTGCAGCCCACTTCGGAAGCCTGGCGCTTTTGCGTTCTTTATTTGTGGAACTTTGCGGCTTTGGAAAAACCACTCATCCACAAGAACTGCATACAGCTTCTGCCTGAAGTTCAAAGTTAGCTTTTAAAAGTAATACATACTTAATTTTTAAACAGCATAGGAGTTCAAGTGCTTTTTAGGTGAGAATGTAGAATTTATTAGCAGTTACCCTTGAAGCAATTATTTTGATTGCTACCTGCTGAAAATGTGTGTTAAATCCTAACACCTGCAGAAATATTAGCATTAATTTACCTCAGCTTTCGACAGCGATCATAGGCTAGTTGTGTCCACTTACAACTAGTTTTGCCATTTATTATCACTTTCCCACTGAAGAGCATCAGAAAGGCGTGGATTTACCCCCACTTGAATAAAAGACTTTTGTCAGCCTTATTATGCCGCCCTTAAGTCTCGATACGCCAAATGTGAAGCGCCCTTCAAATTGTACACGTCTATTTCAAATCGTAGAGGGGAAATTTATAAATAAATAACCATGGTATAGTTAATTATTTGATCTGTACTTCTTCCACCAGACAGAAGTTGACCTTTTGCATCTCCTGCGTTCAAACAACAGTCGCATGTCAAATGATTCATTTCCGTTGCTGTCCATTGCATTATGTTCTGAAATACTCGAAATTGTGTCCAAAATTAGCAAATCTAGTGGATTTCTGCAGTCACGTCTTATTTTCGGCTCCTGCTTTGTGGATAGGGTCTTAATGCGCACAGTCCCCTTTTCCGTCCATTGACTCGTGGGGACGGTTTCACGTTTGCTGTTATTTGATCTGTCCTTTTCCTTAATATAAAAAGTATTGTGGGTCTGTTCAGGGTATTTGCTGTCAGCATCTAGTTTGAAACCGCTCATCAGAACTATCGGCCGCACACGTTCACCACAGATGCTCGCTCCTCCTCCTCCTCCTGATGGATTCTTGAATGTGCCACATGGAAATGGCCGACTTTCCTTGAGTCTTGACATCACGTGCTTACCATGAGGAAGGAAAAGGTGCTTTGAATGATTCCTTAGGGGAATTTTTGTCGAGTTAAAATGGTAACCATTTAGTCTAGAAATCGGTGGAGCAGAACTCCAGCACAATAGGAAATCACTCCCTTCGCAGTTTGGTCTTTGCACGCTTTTCTTCGCAGCATTTAGATGCTCTAGTGCAAAATAATAATTCTCCAAACTGTCTAGATGTTTTAATGTTTCAGCAGCATTTTGAGCAGGTGGGTCATCCACCACGACTGGGTTGGTTTCTTCGGATTCAGTGCCCTCTGTTAATCCATCCCGTGTGTTAGTGGAAATAAAGGGTGAGCTTATTATGTCCTCTATTTTTGATAAATTTCTAGGGTTTTCCTGTGAGCAATGAAATGGCTTATAGTTGTTAAAAAATCCTGGCGTTCCCTGCAATGGGATGATACAAACTGATTCGGGAAATACTGTTTGTGGTTTATTTCCAATTGATTTCTCTTCTTTTTGAAATGTATTTTGAGGCATTACCAAAGCAGTTGAGTTCAGAAAGTATAGATTGTCGACTGTTTCATTGGCAAAAGTTGTTGTTATTTGATTTGTACGAATTTCCGGTTTCGGATGTATGTTAACCAACGGAAGCAGAGCAATCTTTGAAGTCCTTTGAAGCGTTTTGTCCCACCGATCAACCGTTTCCATGACTTCTTCCTCGATTGCTAATACCTTCTGACAAACCCTGTTGAGATTTCTCGAAACCGTAAGAGCAGTCGGCAGGGTTATACACCTTTTGACTTCGAGTGCTTTTAGGCGTTCGATTTTTTCAAGAGCTTTCTCCAAGATTTCAACATTTTCCCTCGGTCGATCTGGTGGGGTTACCATATAACCAAGTGTAGAATTAACAAGTCGTATTTTTCCGGTGTATTCTAATTGTGCAGCATTAAAATCACCACTCTTGTCGTTGTCATTTGCCTGTGTTTGACCACCGTCAACAGAGGAAGAAGTGCCAAGAACATGACAGATTTGGTAGGATTTAGTGAAACATTTCTCATTTTCTCTTAAACCCTCTTCGACATCACCAAAACCATCGCTGTCGTGGGATGTACAATGGAAAGGAAATTCAGGTCCTTTTTGAGAATTTTTACTATTCTTTGAAGCAAACTGCCTCGTATCAGTTAAGTTTGATGTAGTTGCCGTATTTTGATAATGCTTTTCAAGTGACAGTTCGATTGCCCCTTCTCTAACCGTGTCACCATCCTGCAAAAGCCATGACAGCTCATTAGAACTGGGTGAAATCTGGGTTTCCATTGCGCATCTTCGATACATTTCGTGTTCGGAGGAGTCGACAAAACTTTTAAAACTTTTGTCCGTTACATTCCAAAAAGGTTGCAGCACTCGCAAACATTTGTTTGGTTCAATTACATTGACCAAATGTGTCTGGGTAACAACATCCGCGCCTTGCGGTTCCGTTACTTTGACCTGTATTCCGCACAAGTCATGCGAAAATTCGGCGCAAGCCTCAACCAGGTGCTTTTCCATATTAGGGATTGAATAAAGTGATGGATACCATCCTCGTACATCAGCAGCATCGTTGTTTTCATCACGAATAATATACTCAGGGATTTGAGTTGGATTTTCATAAACCTTTAGGGCATCCGTAGCGCATGATTCGCCTGTCTGGATTTTGGCCCTACCGCCTAGAACGTACTTCAGATCAGGAGGCAAAACTCGAGTATTTTCTATTGGTAATTCCGGTAAAAACGCCACAGAATCATCACTTATTTCAATGAGTGTACAAGAGGGCTCTTTCAGTTGACCTTTTGTCGTATCTTTTGGTTTACAAAAGTGTAACTTCTTTACCACATTATTTGGATACCTTGATACATCATCAGAAGTTTGCAGTACTGTAATCACCTCGAATGAATCGAAGCTGGTTTCGGAGGAGGAGTTAAAACGTAATTCTCCATGCGGTGGATCTATGGACTGGGAAATTTGTACGAACTCACGGTTTGTCTGTGACATTTCTTCAATGCAATTTCCTATGCAGGTGGCGACCATGTCTGCAAATGAACCTTTTTGATGAATAGCATTAGTTTTACCTAAGGTATTACCTTCACAGTTTTTTTCCACTTCTATTGAGTTTCGATGTAAATTGAGCAACTCTCTATTTCTGTCCAAAATAGACTTTGAATTGGCCCTTCGTTTCTCGATTGGTAGTTCCTCCTTCATAGCGTCCTCAAAACAAGGCGTTTCAACACATCCCTTCAAATTCCGCTCCTGTATTTCATCCATCAAACACACAAAATATCTCTTCCGTTCGTGGCTACTTTTCCGCACAACGATTTCGTAGTCCCTTGCCAATTCGGTTGCATGTGTTGAGGTCGGATTTGGCACATGGTTTTCACATGCGTTTGTCGATAAACCACCACTCCTTTGAAAAGGACACGGAGACTCTTCGCATAACTCCTCCACGCATTTCATCCTGTTTGATGATACAGTCATGCCAAACGATTGTTTTTCCTCATGCATTTTATGTGGCTTTAGTGAGCGGATTGGCTTCTTATCACCCTGATGGCATTCAACCTTGCCCCCTTCTAAATCTTCCCATTTTGGAGTAAGTGGGTCATACTTTTTGACAGGGGAATGCTTCGCCGAAATAGCTTTCTGGTTCCTTATTTTATCATGTTTTCGCTCTGAAGTAGGGCAATTTATCTCATCTGCTAAAAACAACACCTCTGAAATTGCATCTCTTGGTGAGTCTACTACTTTTGACGGTAGTTTAGAGTGTGATCGATTCAATTTCTCAGGGGCATCCCCTTCATGAGTGCTCCTGTGATCGTTTCCCTTAAGCGGATACAATTCCACCTCTACTTCAATAGGTCCTCTTCCCGTTACTTTCACTGGTGTTAAAGCATTGATAGCAGATGCTTCGCGCAATCTTCCTATTGACATATCCAATTTTTTTATTACTTCCGCCAATTGAGTTCTTACACGACCTGTGTTTGCTATTCTACGAGACTTTCTAAACCATTCTTCCGGTACTATCCCAGAACTCATGAACTGCTTAAATTCTTCTGGAGGTGTGGCTACTTTGTAGGGTTCTTTAACCCTTTGTGTCCCAGTGTTGATGTTTACGGACGTGTGCCTGAGGAGAGGAGCTGGTGCGCTGGAGAGTGTGCATTCCTCCATATCAGTGACTTCACTGCTTCCACCGCTGGAGTCGGATGAAGGGGAAGAGGAGGAAGTGGTAAAGGAGGAGAAATTATTCACATCGACCTCACAACTGCAAACACAAAGACTTTCCTCCTCCAGCATGTCTGTCCAACTTGTAACTTTAGTAATGGAGGACACTGTAGGGCTGGCTTTCATGTTCAATGGTGGATCAACACTTAGGTGATTAGCAGCACAAGGTATGTATTCTAAAATAGAATTAATAACTCTAGGATGGGATTAATTTGGTTTAAAACTTCTATCGAAATTGAAAAAGACTAATTTTTATGTAAGCTGGCGTTTGAGGGATACAATTGCAGATGTTACTAAGCCATAATGTGGGACTTCCAGTGTACTAGGTGCAACAAAGTATGACTATGTCAAAGGAAATATCATGGAATAAATGAGCATTCGGATTTAGCCAGCTGTTTGGAACTACCTCGTGAATGAATCGGCTAGAATTGCCGCCACTTTAGGCACACCCATCGATTTGTTGGCAAAACATATGACTGTGACTTTGGAGTTTAAATTTAGATGAGAAAGTTTTTATCTTGGAAGGTGCGACTGTTCACTTAGCGTTACCGCTGGTCATGGATACGAGCTTCAGAATCAGTTTTCATAAATATTCTAAATTATTCCCGTGGGTGGTCTACTTAAAATTATTGAGTAAAACCTCTCCCGCTGGCATAATATTCTCTTAATAGAGTGCGCGTGCTCCATCGTGGCTCTATTATTAAACCGTGTTCTCTACTGTTGCCGTTTTGATCAAATAGACACGTTGGATTGGCTTCAGCGCAATACATGTCTCATAAAGCGTATTTCCATTCGCCAGTTTAGTCTTTCATATGTCAACTGATGAGGTGACCTTTTGGCCCTGCATGTGAGCGGTGAAACAGGCCACTTGGAAAGTGTTCACGCCGTGACCTGATGTGGGTCTGCAGCCTAAAAGGAGTTTTGTGAAATAATTTCCTGTAAAATACAACCCAGCGTCAAGATGCTATAACGACCTTCATATTTTTGTCATTCCCTAAACCGATCAACCCAATTTGGGAACTCATCCAGGCTAAATAAACACTTTTACATGGGTGATAAACGACAATTATGTCTGACAGAACGTACTTTTACCATCCGAATGCGCTACCACTTATTATTTTTTTATTGATACTTTTTTAGCCCTGGTCTTAGCATAATAAACCACTTTCGTAGACTGTGCGAACGGATGACAAGTATTAATGTTCCAGACGGTTAAGCCGAACATTTCTCACTAGACCAGACAACTAGCCGTTGGACAACGGCATGAAGACATCTTCGTCTAAGCACTAAGCTAATCAGGGATGCACACCTTGACGAAAAAGGCATTAGTTTGGGGGCTCTAAAGAGTGCTTACAGCCCTATTAACCAAGCCTTATAACAGCTATTGGCCTCCAACGCAAGGCTTAAGGGCGTGGAAGAGAATTTATTTTAGATGTTATTTTTAAAATGTGTTCTCTGAATTGCGAGGCGTTATTCCACATGCAGACGTCCACCTCTTTTCATTGCCCAATTTATTAAGTTTATAATTTGCATACAGAAGTTTTGAGCATCCAAATTTGAGCCTAGCAGAAAGTAGTTGCGGTACTTTATCATTTCACGAGATCTTGCCTTGAGGTGATAGACTTTTTAAACACAAATTTTAATTTCACAGCGTTTTGGGGTTCATATTCGGCCTTGCGCACGCAGCCTTTTGAAACACGGGCAATCTCAGCATTCAAGGTGACGCGTCTCCATCGGATAGAAGCGCACTGTAGTACTAACCGCCTGAAACTCTGAGCTGGAAGAATTTACTAGTTATTATTCTGATCGTGCATTCACTACATGGCCAAGGCTTCAGTTCTGTAATCTCGAATCATAAAAAGTTGTGTTTTTACACCCGTATAACTGGGGCAACGCTAAAACAGAAGCTCCGCTTGAACCGTGTTTCGGTTCTCTCACAGTAAGGTATTAAAAAGAAGTGGATAAATTTAAGTCTAACCGTTAAATATGTATAAATCAAGTGCTTGTAGAAATACTGTATCACCTTGTCACGCCGTTAGACAAAGTACCTGTCACCATCTCGGATAAAGCGGTAGTTAAAATTATGCCAGAAGAGTTGGTGCGGTAGTTAGGCTATCGCTTGCAACCAAGGGTAAAGCCCATGTCGGGAGCTTTACGCATTATGTTAAGCAGATCGTCAACCAGTTCCAAGATCCTGGTTGGTCTGACCTTTTACTCACACGCAATCTAAAGTGGTTGAAATATTGCGGAAACAAACCATAAGGTGATCGGAACTGCAAAAGACCTGGAATTTAATGGGGCACATTGTCATGAATAACTAGGCACGCATTTACATAGACATTTGAAATTTTTTTTAATGCTACCCTTTGCACTGGACTTGAAATCACTTATCAATAAGATCAAATTAGGCTTTGTTTCCTTCGCTGTCTACGTCGGTTATCAGTGTCATGTCATTGAAACCAGTGCGTGTTCCACTTGGCTTGGTTTTGTGATTTCGAATGGCAAATCAAAGCTAACCGAGTGTTCTCGAAACAATTCCGAAAAGTATTTGTAAAAGTGCAATCTCCATTCACCAAAAGTTAGTAAATGCGTTAAATAGAAGTTTCATTATTGACTGCAGCATGATGACTCAAAATTCGACGCAATCCCACATTCCTGTGCGGAAACGACCTTGAGTAATGCTTCCGTCCCATCTGCCAGCCAATGGTGGATCTACGGCATTCTACACGCCCTTAAACCTTGGCTCTTGCAGCTGAGGCATGGTTAGATTTTAACTGTAAAAGCACGTTGCCCAGATTCTAGCCCGCATTGGTCATCTTTTGCAAAAATACACCGTCCTACAAGCAACCGGATTCAATGACTTCTATTACCTCTTGCAATGTTAGACCATGAAGATCTTTCCACCTCATCCACAATGGTTACGGGGTTCTTGTGCCAAAGATAACTACAGTCAGATATGAGGAAAGTTGACTTGAATATTTTTGGTGCTGGACGTAGGATGGGGACGCATTGACGTGCAGCGGCACAGGCTGACGCGATGCGCACTTCCATGACTCACGGTGGAGTTTTTTGCTGTATGGTCCGGTTGGGCTTAAGTCAGGGTAAACACCGAGTAACATCACAACTTTTTTGTTCTTTTTTTCTCCATTTTCTTACCTTCCACCCACACTCATCGCTAGACTAAGGGTGGTGAAATCAATCAACCCTCCATAATCCCCAGTAAATTTGGCTCTAGGGGCAACCCCATTAATGGTTGCCTGTAGAGTTGAAAGTGGCTCTCTTTTACTGAAAGAGGTAAGGCAAGAAAATTACAGCAGGATAGTAGACTGAATTACAGCCAGTATTGCGTTACAGTATCGTCTAAGCATGGAATTCATGCTTTTCCATTCAATGCAGCAAGTACTACACCTTGAACTGCTTACTCGACTTAACTGATATAAAATATGCTTCTAACACTACTACGCATGAAATCGTGTGATTTGGTTAATTTTTAATTTCAGCCACTGAGATCCCATGAATGGGCAGGGCCACTGCTTTCCCACGCGGGAAAACAATTTTTAAGCATAAAAACTTGTGTACCTGACGATTCGCATTAAAAGCATTCGAGCCTTCCGACTCCAACTTCAACGCACTTCAAACATAGACAAAGCACTTTCTATCGAAGTGCAGTCCCAATGAATGGAACGCATCAATAAAATATTTTATGGATGGAAGTCTTGCCAATTTGAACGCACCATCCATGGCCGAAACATAAATAAAAGTTGCTGATAAACAGTCACACTGCCTTTGCGTGATTCACATTATTGTGATGTAAAATTTGGCACTTTTATGATAGGACCAAAAGTTGGCGAGTAAGAATATTTTACAATGGATTGGAGACCAATAAAAAACTCCCTTTTTGGGTGGCCTATCGTGGGTTCCCTGAAGGTTGACTCGACTCCTAAGTGGGCATCTGGTACTATGCATTGAAACGAGACTATTCAAACACTATACGGTTGCTGTGTTCCGATTCCTCCCCAACAATTCGTACGTATTTTCAGTCTATGAATTTGAAAGACAATGACTGCATATTTTGCAGCAGCGCTTGCGGTTAAGTGGACTGTTTAACTGGAAGCGTATTCATGGTAAATTCCTTCCCATTGGAGCTTTGCATTCAACGACTTGGCAGCTGGTGAGTCAACAATACAAACACGCCTTAGGGGCAATCAAATCAAACCTGATGCCCGCATTATACTGCGAATAACGGGCGAAACTTTGAAAAGACCTGCAGTTGGGTTTTCGTATTCTTCGGAATCGGCTGATTTTGTGCAGCGGTGCCGCTTCACAGGAGCGCACAACGGCTAGGGCTGCCACGACCAAAACACTACCACCAGTCAATTCGAGTCACGCGCACAGAAAGTGATGTGTTTACGTGTTATGCAGACGGGCACGCACGCACGCACGCACCACAAAAAAAGAGCCGGTGTGTTGTGCGCCAATTTCCGGACAGGCACTTGTGTGCGCACGTGCGTGCGTGCATACCGCGATCGTGCCAAGCCAACCCACTGCTCGAGCGTGCATGCATGCAAGTGGGCAGGCTGTGATGAGGATACGGACCGGACCATCAAGTCCATATGAGTCACCGCGTTCATTCGCGTCTAGAAATCCGTTAAAAAAGGCCAGGTGAGTAATGGCCAAGACTCCACGACCTCGACAAAACTATCAGACGCACCGGCTGAGACGTGTGCAGCGAGCCCACACGGCAGTGACGACAACAGGCGCATCGTCAGACGATGTAAACAGCAGGGTGTCACATGCTCCTACTTTGGCTCGTTCCAACTTCTGGAAACTCACCTCAGGCTCTCGTTTTCGGGATGCCGTATTAACATGATGCGTGTCAGGGTCTCTGTGCAGACCTTGTGAAAAATGGCAGTCGCAGTCAAGCCGCATTCTCCAACAGCGTCAAAAAAGCACGAAATAGATTCATCGCAGCATACGATACTTTCCGCCTTTTAGGGAACCATGTTTTACCTTACCATCGCAAAGTAGTGGAAAAGCTGATATTGTTTTGTTGTATCTGTATACGCCTTTACCACGGTTGTTATAGTTAACTCAGAGAGCGACGAAGGTGGCTGGCAATTCGCACGGTACAAGAAAGCTGCATTGCAGGGCAATCTATGCTGGTAACTCTATCATTCCAATACTTTTCTTCGCAGTTCATTTTGCATCCGTCCCATGAAACATTTTCATTTCTCTATAATAGACAAATTCCTGTCTAACGTTTGTCCCTCATAATATTTGTAAAAAGTAGACTCTATCGTGTTTTCTACCAACAAATGCGCCTTCCACTGTTGCTTGATTAGCTGCCTCACCTCGACAAACTGGATTGAATTGCCATATAAACTTCCCATTTCCACCGCTTTATGGTACCAAAGCAGGGTTTCCCCTCATTCTCTTCTCCTGCGCATCAATGACTTTCCTTTTCACTTAGATGCAGGGCACTGTACTTGTTCTCTTTGCTTTGATCTTATTCCGGATTAGCTAGTAGTATTTGGTGAAGATGTATTGTATATCAGCCCTCATTATGTGTCTTTCCGACTCAACCGCAGGTGTTTGTTGGCTTTCGGATGTTTTTTGGACTTCGTTTCTGACGAAACATTCAAAGGTATAACCTCAGTGGAAACTGTTCCCAAGTTTCCAATCACGCCAGGTGTTAGTTTATGTAGTGAAACATGATTTAGTACCGACTCTCCTTTGAGATTTGCATGTAATAGATAAAAAGGGGGTTATTTTCTATTAAAAATGCTTAATTGCCGCTGAATTGTCTATGAAGGTAAAAGATGATTCGAAGATGGGAAATCTGAAACACATTTACAGTCCGTTTTTAGCTGCAGTTGAGTCGGCATGGGTTTGAAAAGCGATGTGGTAGTGTCGAAAATTTCTTTATAAAGTCAAGTTGGGTGACGCTTATAATTCACGCTTCTTGGCTCGCCTTTTTTTGTTACAGCCAGGCAGAACAAGGCCTTAAGTGCAAACTATGCAATAAGGACATGTGAAAATTCATTTGAAATAAGCAGATAGCAGCTCTACAGCTACCAATAAACCAAGCCCTTGAGGATCCATCATAAATGCTGTTTTTAGCATGTTATCCAGCCCACAATTAATGCCAGTTACCCTTCATGCCCTTATTCGCCTCCGCGATATTAATATGCAGATTATGGGCTGAAGTGGCGTTCTTTACTTCCCCATACCTGCATACTACATCTCCAACTCACTTTCAACTCGCAGGCAATCAACATTTCATCTATTTAGACTGCCTAAGAGCTCCCCTTGTTTACATAAAAGTCATGGTCCATCGCATGAGCAGGTGAATTGAAGACAACCTGTGAGCTGCTGTTGTTAATGCAAGAGCGCTCACATCGGCAGATATACAGTTTCACGGCAGGAGCGAGGGCCAAGTGGCCTCACTCCCTAGTTGACTCCTGACTTCACTCACCGAACCAACGTGAGCATCATGTGAACTTCAGGATCGTGCAAATCAACACCTCTATGTAATTTCACTCCTATTAGTAATTGTTCACCTTTGCTGGCAGGTGAAGGCCAAAATTCGTTGTAACCTTAGGTTTGTCATGTATTTTTATATACTCTCATTTCTACATAAATGCACCACAACCTCCAGTTGGAGCCATTGTCATAATAATGATTCCGTTTTGGCACCGCTCCCCTATTGGTACTGCCAAACAGAAGGCACTGTGTTAATCAGTTCAATGGAAAAGCTATAGTGCGTGACTCTAATCCTAGGTCACCGGCCTCCACCCAAGGGTGGTGATAAGTAAGAAACACGCTATGGATCCTAGTAACGCGATTTAACTACATGGATGGATGTGGCGTGAGAAGAATCAAGTCCCATCCACTTACCTATCACTTCATGTATTTCCTGAAGCATCTATTTAAGTCTACCATCTCCATTGCACAATTCCACCTACGACTACAATACCAAAAAGTGGATTGTACACAATGCCAACGCCGAGAGTTAACTCTTCAGTGTCAAAGACGCAAATTGGAAAATTTCGTGGACTTAATTGTGTCAGTTCCAACACAAAACGAAAGCCGCATTTTCTGGCACCAGAATGTCATGCTAGATCGAAAAGCAGTGGCCCATTACCAGTGGTGAACCACAGATGCAAACATTGAGGAACTCGTTCACTTTCTCTAAGATAAAACTAATTAGAAAAGTGCAGCAATAGTTGCTTTATCATCCCCAGGACACTGAATCATTTCAAAGATTAAGGTAGCTTGCGATTAAAAAGAGAAAAAGGGGCAAGCTCATTACCAATTCGACTCCCAGCAAACCGCAATCTGTAGTGCCGCAGACGCTGTGAAATTTGAAGGTAATTTACACCCGCGCCCACCAGTTGTAAAGTTATTAAAGCCGTGCAGTGCATATTAAGTAACTGAGTTCTACAAGCTGTCCTAGGAAGGTACTTACTCAAATTGTGCTGGATAGTGGTCAATCAGATGAAAGAGAAGCATGCCAGGTGGGAGTGAACGTAACACTGCTACAAACCCAAAACGATCACAAAATGAGGAAAAACATCACATAAATGCAAATTAGTGAAGAGCGGCACGCCTGAGAAAAAGTGTTCATCGTGTAAGCGTCGACCTTCATCTTACATGAGAATTTAGACAAAGTGAATGGTACTGCCCTTTGAAGAAAGTTGGTAGGCTGCAGGTTACTGGGAGACATGCAGGCCTGTTGAACTCTCCTCATCGTGAAGGCGTGGGTGGTAAGAGCTTAAGGTCACATCCGTTAAGGCGTTTCTGGTTGGCTAACAAAGTGCACATGCAATTCTAGACGGTACGTACGCACCACCGACCTTGAACTGAGCCATTGGCGTAAGAGAAGACTACTAATGCGTTGTTGTTATTCTGGTCTGATACACTCTTGTCGCAGTTTAAAAACCGGTAGGCGCGCTGGCGGTTGCTCTGTTTTGCGTCTTCGGCCTTCCTTGCCGTAAGTTCGGTGTTTCACCTTGTGTTAGTCCGCTTGAAATTCGTCTTGCGTGTTCATGTTTACTGCACCACAGTCTCATTTAGCGATCCTCTTTTGCACACGCGCAAACCATGCGCTCTGGTGAGAACATTTAGTTGCCATTCTTTGGTTATCTAGCTGTGTGAGGTTTAGCTTCAGTCAGCTCTTATTTTCACAAGGCTAGATTTCCAAACAAACGCACCTAAATAGAACGCCAGTTGTGTTTTCTCTTATCTGTAAATGTCATTACCAACAAACGATTTTTTGGGTTTTCCATCGCCTTGGATTAAAGTAATTTAAACTAGAGACAACAAGGCAACGAGCTCATTAGCTTCCGTGGATGTACTGTTGTTTGCTTATCACTTGATCAAACAACTTGGTCTTCAACCGTATCTGCTTGAGTCTGGTGAAGTACTCTTTGGGAGGTGTACATGAGCCCGAGGTTGTCAGCTCATTCAGTGACCATTATTAGTGTCCATTTAGTTTAGCCTGCAGGTAGGGTGAAAAATTGGGAATTCTTACAGAGAATTCTTACAGAATTACTATCGTCTGTCCGGGCGTCTAGGCCCGGAATAGCGTCTGTGAAGTGTTTTTTGTTTTGGTTGTTTTGCTGAGCTAGTTCCACAGCCATGACTTCTGTCCAAACCACTGTAGGCATGTTCGGGTTCACAGGTAACTGGGTTGTCGTAGGAGATTCTCAGTCGTTTTGCGTCGCGGCCATAAAGGTCGCTTTAAGCCGAGATAATGGCCGGAAGTGCTCGGCTGCATCTCCTTTAGTTAATTCGCAATTCGGGAATTCGTGCATCTTGGAGATATAAGGTGGCTCAATTGTTGGTAGGTGGCAGGGCGTCTGGACGAGCAAGTTGACGTGTTGATTTTCCTGAAGGTAAGGTGAATGCAGTACCGTCACTCAAGGAGTGCGAATTTCTACGCGAAAGGCTCCTGGCCGTTTAATTTTTCCAAAAACTTGTGTTATTTGTTTGAGCTTCTTTCTGAGCTGAGGTGGACGTCAGAGAGGCCCATCAACCGTAGTGGACCACGGAGGATTCATGCCTTAGGCTTAGTGTGGCGTAGTTGAACGTTGCGGTCGCGGGAGTGCCCTCTCCAATCGGTGGTGAATGCGCTGCGCACACGTGCTGTTCGCGCCACTCCCCTAGTTGGCTGACTGCGCCCCATCTCTTGCCTCTTTCTCCTGCGGTTGTGTACGCACAGCACACGCATGACAGCCCACTCTGAAGACGTTCACCTCCTCCTCCTTCGCTATGCTGTAAATCAGGATTCAGTCATTAATCGTAAAGCCTCTAGATGTTCCAAATATGTCCTCAAGTTGTCCCTGCCTCGGGCAAAGCCTAAGTACCAATAAATCTCTTGTCATCCGACTTGTGTAATTGCACAGTTGCTGGTGGCACTTGTGTTCATGTAAGTGACATTTGCTTACGGGTTGTGTATGCATCGTGTATGTGTAATTCCATAGTGCGAGTGGATTATCAACGTGGGTGCCTCTTCCTCGGCGAGGCCGCCTGTCTGCAAGGGGGCATCTTTTAAGGCTTGAGGGGCGGATGCTGCTTTCCTCCTCGGTGAGTTTGTGTTCACAGGAAGCGCTTAAGACGTTTGCGGCCTTACTTGTTAGGTTTTGTGTCTCTTTCTTCAGCTTAGTTGTCTCCAGATCTCGGTGGGATGATCGTATCAGCTATCGTTTACAGGCAGTACTGTCTCCGATGCGTATGCATAAGTGTGCTCTGGAGCAGAGTTAGGTGTTGGTATTACCTTTGCCCGAATTCTTGGAATGTTGAGTGGGGTATTGCTTTTTTCATTAGTTCTTAAGGAATGCAACATTAAATACAGGGATCGAACAAATGTGTTGTGCAGCTATGCTTGCCCACGTGCTGCCTTTATTAAGGCGGACCGGATCGACCTTTGTGGACTTGGAACTTGTGGCTATTGCACTAGAGGCTTGATGAAAAAGGCATTACTTCAATCCTACCATTTTAAAATGAATTGGAGCAAAATGAGGCAAATTAAAGTGGCAAGAAAAGACTCATTGCAGGGTCCGCTCCACGGTCAACAATGCTACCCGCCTTGAGTCATATGACTGGGATCTTGGGGGTGAATAAGTTTGCAGGTGGGTAACTGGTGCGACTTGTGTTATTCTGGAACGTTCCGCGTTCCTTCCCCGTGCACTTTCCACCAGGTGGCACGTAAGGTGGTAAAATCCAGCCTATTTGGCCTCCCAAAGGCAATAAGAGTTTACCCTGGGTAGTACACGACTGTTCCTCGCTCTTTAACACTTGGAACCGCCGTGTCTGACGCACGAGGATTGGTTGAATTCATTAACTAGCCCTATGTGCCCCTGATAAGCCGTTTAATTCCGGACGTAGGAACCACCTAGTGTCGGCAGTCCGTTGCGTAGGTTACAGGTTGGCAGCTTTGAGGCGGTGTACTTTTTTTGATAAAAAGAGGGTCGGTGATGGGATTCCCTGCCCGCCATATGCGCAGGCGGAGGTTGTGTGAGAGGGCGTCAGTTTGGTTCTGCACCATGAGGGCGTATGTATGACCCGGCACTCCGATGCGGACAAGCGGTGCCAGGCGGACAGGCAGGAGTCAGGCAGTGGACCCATTCACTTTCACTTGGCGTTGCAGGTATGGGTTAAATTCACTCATCAAAGGTGGAGACCAGAGAGTAATGTATTGCAATTATATGTGGATGAACCCACTCTTGTAGCGTATTTCAAATCAAGTGGGGCTCTTAGTGTTTGGACACTGGGATGTTTTAGTATTGCCCTGTGATTCTGTATTTTCGTACATCGGTATTTAATTACAAGGGTTAAGTGACCTCACGAGTTTCGATGAAAATAAGTGCTTCACTTAGAGCCATGGGCATTGTCGTTTTCAGCATGTTTGTGCGTCACATATATGTGTGTGCCATGGGATCATGTTCTCTCATTTCGTGGAACTATGGATGATCGAGGAACGCTTTTCTTATTTACCCAATTCTGCAATTTTCAAGACTAATCACCCCAAATCCTTTGGTGTGGATACAGACGGCCATTTGTATTTCTGCATTAGCTGCCATTTTGACCATGAATAATGGATAATCACAGCCAAGTATTGTTACTCCCTTATGAAGCAAATACTCATAGCTGGAGGCGTGGCTTTACATTTGATATTTTTAAGTAATGCGGTATTTAGATCCCTTGTCGTTTAAACTTATAGCATCAGAATGTGGTATCTCTCACCACATGGTTACTTTTACTACTAGCTTTCGGTTTAAACACATTACTGAGATGTAAAGTCGGCAGCCTATTAAAGCGTGTACAAATAAACGGAGATCACATGCATCATCTCGATAAGGTACAAAATACCTAGTTAAACCAGCTCGAGTAAGTGCCTACAGAAATAGACTCTGGATTTTATGAATAAGTATTCCAAATAAACCTGGCGATGCCTCTTATTAAGTACATTACTAGAGTACTAACTAGTCATTTTAATGTGGATGAACTTATAAGTGTATCTGGCCAGATATCAGGCGTACAATGGGAAAGGGGTATGGAGGTTCATTCAAGATCACGGTCATTGAGATTCTACTTTCAGAGAGGTTTTGGTATCACTACATCCCAATACTTCCAAAGGGAGGTTGAATTCACCAAAATAGTCTCCTATTAAACTCGGAGTTATACTCCATTTTAGAGTTAATTGGACATTCAGGGGCAGCATAGGAAGTACGGATGTTTCGGCAATGGCTAGGTTATTTGCTACCGGTACCTAAAACTCGGCGGCGGTTATGTGCTGAATTTACTCTAGTTGAAGCCCAGTGCTGCAGAAAGCTCAAGCAATCACATTCGTTAACTCATGTGGGTGGCTCCGTGATGACAAAGGAGGGCCCAAACGACCAGAGCTTGGTAATGGATTGAGTCACCGTAGTATGCCTCATCTATGCCGGGTAATCATATTCAAATGAGCAGTAAAAGCATCCCACACATTGGTCGCCAGCTAGTTTACAAAACTAGCACCTCCAACCTCGAGGAAAAACGAGATGAGTAAATACCGTCTCTTTCTTACATCTGATCAACTCAAAGTTGGTCGGCACATGTTTCTAGATTGACCAGCAATGTCATAGACAGGATGTTGCCACAGCACTCCAATCTTACCCAAACCAGCATCACCAAAGGTGCATTTGTTAAGTGGAATCTCTACCGAATCATCCATTGGCTACTACTGGATGATTTAGAATCTGGCTGTCCTATCATCACTAGCGTCGAATGTTTTCAAGATTTAGGTGTATGCGAAGGTTTATTTGCAGTAGGCGAGACTAGTATGAGATAGAATTCTAAGTATCAGTGCTCTTTATTTCTTGATAAATAACGGTTTAATTTTTCTAATGGCTCGTGCCTTAGCAACTCAAACAGACCTTCGTGACAGACTAGTTATGTTAACTTGTGACTTTACCGATCAAGAGCGGATTCATTGCAACATAATGAAGCTTTATTTCAGCCTACGTATGCAACTACCAAACAGCAGCACTGTCAAAATCAGTTTAGACTTTGCCTCCTAGACCAAGAGGTGTTCTCTTCCCCGTGCCCCAAAGCGGGTGCGATGCTTTTGATCAATCACTAAATAACGCAATGGAATTAGCTAGACAATTTCAGGGAAATTGAATGCGATTTCGAGAAAGAGAAGCTATCCAATAGCACCAGCAATACAGTTATTCCCTACAATTTACATTTCTCTCATAAAGGTTAGGGTGTTACCTCCAAGGTATAAATCCAGCTACTACTTTCGTAGTCGGACAGAAGGATTTAGTGCCCGCCCATTCCCTCACAACTCTTCTTTAAAGGTGCACCGTCCGTCTGGTGACTTTCGTCTCAGCAGTGGGTTTCCACGGCGGTCCGTTCACAAATGTTTGTATCAAGTGTGTCTCAGTTACAAGTTTCTGGGATGCACGTGATGAACCATGCATTCCGCTCATGATTCTCTAAAGTAGTAGAATCAAAGTCGCTTTATTAGCCACGACCATGAAGCTATAACTTCTCGGCCCAAATTAACGAACTTTTTTGCAGAATTAACTATACGACATTGATGAATATCAATAGCCTCTTACTTGACATTTATTTGTCAATGGGAAAGAAGATTTAGTGCGCATCATAAAATTATTTGTAAACAATTACCCTGACTCCAACAAACGCATCAAGCTAAAAATGCTTAATTAATGAAAAAATAGAGGATAATGGAAATCATAACGTCTATCGAAGAAGCAAGTAGAGTTTACAGCTTATATTTTAAAAAAGAATGTGTAGACCGTTTACACCATCTTTCCAAATGGTGCCAGCCTTGAAAGTCCCAGACATTGAGGCCAAGTTGAGAAATGGCAGTGATCCCCAACGAAAGAAGATGCGACGCTAGCCTTCGCTCATGATCGGCTCCGTGCCAGGAGGAGCCGAAGGCGCGGGCGAGCACGTGATGGTGCGCAGGGCGCACGTGACTCCGCCGCTGCACGTACTCCGACGGTGTAGTGTAGTTTGGGCTGGCGCGACGGAGCCTCGCTTCAAGCCATTGCCGCGACTTCCTAGCAGCGAGCGATCATCGATTTGGAGAACATGTGGCAAATGGCAGCCAAATTCGGACCTATGTGAGAAATCATACAAAAAGGTATGCCCTACCTGATTTGACACTATTTACGTACTGTAGATGTCGGAAGTTCCTAAAAACAGCAAGCCACTTATTTTAATGGGCCTAGGAATGCTGAATACACTTAGTAAATGGCTAAACTAGGATTTTAGAACTTAAAGTCGAACGACCTAGTCGCCGCTACCTGCAATAATTAGCGTTTTCACCCTCTTCCCGGCTCATAACCACTGAGTGTTGATAAGTGTATGCTGACCAGTGGGCTTTATTGTTGTAAAGCTAACATTTTCGAAAAGTCTCCACGGGAGGAGACAACGGGACAGGTAATTCACTACACATGGATTAGGGAGGCCTAAGTGGACTGAATAAGTCCGATCCGAGCCAAATGATGAGACAGGGTGGATTTAGTGGCATGTGTTGCTCATTCATACACCCCGGATCCATTCATGCGCAAAACGTTTCATTTGCAACGACCGGGAAACGCGGTCACGTTATTATAATTGATCCTTTAGCCTTATTCCTCCTTTTACTCAGGGCATTTTACTTTACAGGTGCCTTAGGCCATGTTGGCCAATCCAACGGGAGTTGCACGTTGCGTACACGTAGGAAAAAGCTATGGAAAAAATTAACTTCTCGCCGTATTTGCCTAATTTTGGCTCACGCTCCACATATTCCCTTCTTTAATTTGGCTTTTCCTTAACTAAATTGCCAACCATCCCTCAAAAGCTGTCAACGTTTTCATAGCTATTTAAAGCAAAGCCTGTTCGAAACAAGTCATATAGGCATCCTCGAACTGCTTTTCTATAGGGAAGGCAACTGACTCACTTAAAACTTTTGCGTGAACTTTGGTTAAACGAACTCCCGTATGTAAAATCTACTACTTACAACAGTGGGTGCATTTTCTCCTTATAATGAACTTTGAATGGGAGATATTTGTGGCGTTTCGTAGTGTTTAAGAAAGCCAAATAACACCTTTATCTGCCTCATTTGTGATGTTTCAGTGCCTTGAAAATAGTTTTGCAATCTTGTCGACAAACCTGCTTCTTCATGTCACGTGATGAAGGCCCGATGCAACAGAAAGTAGAGGCTTTTGTGCAAAATGAGTGCTTTCGTCAGTTTTAGAAATTTGGCTAGTACAGCTATGTGGGATTTGTAGGTCTCCCCTATCCACGCCTTTAGGAGCTTCATGATTAAAAAAAAAATTTGAAGAAGGTATCTAGGGATGTATTGACAGAAGAATGCATGGTGCCTAATAGCTTATAAGAGATCATAAATTCACATAATCCAAATAATTAATAGCTTTTATCCATGTCATTTAAAATCCTCGCCATATAACCCTAAAACCCAACTTTTATCACACCAAGGCACTATTCTTCCTGATAATGGCCATAAAGCGTGCTTTCATTTGCTTGCCTTTAACCTGACCTGAGATATTGTAATACGATAGTTGCATTTGAAATAAGGTGTACTTTGTGCGGGATACATTCAAGGCCATCTCTGTCACCATCCACGAGTTGCGCGCAAGCTAAAACACGAAAACACAGGGAGAGTAACTTTCGTGGCTGCCATTGTGTTGAGGCGCACTTAGCTAGACAGTGCACTTGGCGCGAGGACTTACATGAGAGTTTCGCGTACATCAACATCAAAGTAGTGGGAAAATTGGGAATTTTTATGTTCTTCCTTTTGTTTTCGAGTTCTGGTGAATCGAATAATTTGAAAAGATCACTTGATAGCGCCCGTTCTAACACACTAGGCAGTAGTCGCTTAGATGGAAACAGTTTGCATTCACGTCGTTAGCATAGACGTCACAAATACTTTTAGGAGGTCTAGACTGCTTCTCGCAGCCAAGTTGGACGGCTTTCGTCAGCCTAGGGCTCTGTTTATCCAAAGGTTGAGGATGGGTCGTCGTACTGTAGGGGGGAGTCAGGCACTATTCAGTTGCCACAGCTTCTACTTCTTTTCTTTAACGCAAGACAACCCTAGTCTGTAAATGAAGCTCCACATCACTTAGACATGACCTCGTATTTTTGAAGGCTATCGCTTGATTTCGCCTATGAATAGTCTTATAACGACTACAATGAGTTCTCGATTATGTGATTCGAATGCCTTTACTGAAAGGAAAATATTACACTGAAGGTGACAAATTTTCGACAATTAAGGTCTATAAGAGCACTAACTTCCACTTCCAAACAGTAGCATGAATGAACGCACTACCAATGTTTTCAGTAACTTTTACATTGTTTTAAAAGGCCTAGGAGTAAACAATTTTTGTAGAAACGCAGGGAACTACCAATACAGTACGAAGGAAATCCGACCACAAAATCAACTTGTATTCCAGCGTGAAAATCGCTAATGATAACGTGACTACATTCGCAAGGCTTAGCTGCGTGTAAACGAATACAGCAAAACACCTGCTTCCACAAATTGGGACCAGACAACCGCGTTTTTGGAAACCCTTAGCATAGTTCCTTGACACTTGAGAGGGCAGTCTCTGCGACGCCACTAGACCATTACTAATCTTCTCTCTTCCTAAAGTTGGGGCGTTTGCCACCAAACCGCCCGGCTGGATGAATGTGTTCGCCAACCCAAAAACGGGCAGCATGCAAATAAATCGCCGCACAGAGTAATCATTTGAAAACCCCTTGAGTCCGCCGTTGAGTTTAAATTCATCAAAAAGCAGTGACCACGTGGAGCCAACATCCGTGCTACAGAGTAGCGACCCCTTATTCTTAAAGTAGCTCGTAGGGCCTGCTTCAGACTCAGAAGTCGATTAAACATATTCATGCAGCCAATTAACCCCAGTTTTACAAGCTAAAAGTGTGACTCCCTGGATGCTCGCTGCCCTAGTCATGTTTTTATTGAATCGCTCCCTAATAATATCTGAGAGGAAGTATTTTATTGACTTTGCTGGGGGTTGTAATACGGAATCTGCCACTTGGTTGCTACCCAAATTCGGAAATATTAAAGCCCCCAACCCCAGTGTTAGTAAAGAGCCAAATCATGGCAACGGGACATGAATCTTCGCACTGGTATCGCAGCAGCCGCATTTAATGTAACACCTGGTGCACCATCCACGGAACGTACGCTCCAGGGACAAAGGGAAGAGATTCGCGGACCCCACCACAGTGCAACCAGCTTTACTTTAAGCAAGAGTGTGTGCGCGAAAGACATGACAATCAGTACTGCCCCAGTGTTTTGGCAAACGGGCCCATGGAGATGCACAAGTTACGCAGTCACTAAGTTAGTTAAGTCCGTGGGTAGGAAAATACGTAATGGCAACACATCCCCACCGAGAGCATTGATTCCTGAACAAATTACCGTTCCGATCAGCGACAAAGGGAGATGGCCCCAATGTTTGGCCAAACAGAAGGTAAGGCGGGTCCGTAACGCTTTAACCCGTTTTCACCACCTCAAGAATCGGCAAACCGCCCAAAAATTGCACGCTTTGCGGCCGTACAACGATTGGTACAGATAATCGAACAGATGACAACCGGGTAGGATGTTGCTCAAGATTGTTAGCCTTATGTAAGGCAGCTCCAACCACTGAATGCCGTTAAACGATAAACCACAGCCACACGCATCACGGCACACGGCGTCAAGCACTAGAACACGGTCAGGGAGACCTTCTCTGCCAATGCCAAAGCCCCCAAGACTGCAACAGGCATAACTCAGTTGGCTGGGCGAAGTGCCTATTTGTCGACACAACTAGCCTCATAGTGGTCTAGCTCCCGAGCCCCCGATGAGCGACGGACCACGGCCGAGATTGCTTGATCTGAGCGCCTCAAAGCCTGGTAAAGGTTTGCAGGCCGACTTTCCCGGGTAAGCAATATGCACAAGGGGTGGCATCATGCTCATGACGCGACCCACCACTCACCCTACGAAGACATGCACGTCTTGGAATCCAAACATGGCAATCCGCTTGAACGCCTACTCGTCATAGGGCACCACTTATCTGCACACAACGCACGCACACACTGCAAAGGCAGACATCAGCACCCTCATACACGGAAAAAAACGAGTAGACCCGCCAGTCGACCTAACCTAACGGGATATAACGAAACATGCCGACGGGCAGACACCCCAAGAGGAGGCGCAAACGGAGACAAGAACGACGAGCAACGTAGGCTAAGAGCACGACGCGGATAAGCGGCGACGGAACCAGCGACCCACACGTCGATCAGCAAAGCTCAGTAAGGACTGAAATAGAAACGAAGAAGCAGCACCCACCACGGCCAACCCACAAGGACTGGCACGCCAACCTCCGAACTACGGCTACAACGCTGACGCGGCACACCGATGAGGGCCAAAAGAATAAAGAAAGCATACTCCAAAGGCGACGAAATCACCCAGATGACTACATCTCACACGTACCAAGCACCGCACCTAGACAGCCTAGTAACAGCCGGTACGTCTCGAGCGAGAGTTAGGTGGCCCCAATCTGACCAAAGTGACAGACGAGACCTTCCGGCGTCCACCACCGGCTACACACACCAAGCTACCGCAGGAAAATTCGTGGCCATCCAAACTCATACCAAAAACCCATAGCTTTAAACTGTAGGAACGCAAGTGTAGAGACGAGAGACCAGCTCGATGAACGAGGTACCGACTAAAAGATTCGAGGATGTCACGAGGTACGGGTTAGAATGCCAATACTTACAGGCAAACGCAGAGACGAGTGATTCCAACATTAAAAAGAAAATATAACCATAAACGCCATAACTGAGAACAACGGAAGGCTGCAGGCAGACTGTCCACAAGGCTGATTGAAGACAAGTGGAAGCTATCAAAACCAATCAGGAACGCGCACCACCTGCCTTGAAATACAAAAAACGCACGTTTGCTCATCAAAGTAGAAACAGTGAGGTAATCAGCTCTCATAATCTTTTTCACAGATGCAGGCCTTACACCGTATAAACACGCAACTCGAACACGCATACAATCGTGCGCGAAGTGTGTAGAACTAAATACTTTTTGGCTAGGATGGGAGATCCGCACTTATAAGGGTAAGGTTCCTGACTGTCAAAGCAAATTTGTCATCAACACTCACCACCCACGAGAAAACTCACGCCGGATGACCGCGCCAGCACTGACCAACAAAGGGCAACCATCCCTCTACACCCGACAAAACAAAGCATGGGGAATCAAAAACCATAATGTTGAGCTTAATAGCACCTGTAGGAGCAGTTTCACAAGCAATAAATTTGATTGCTGCTATCTGGATTAAAAATACATCAAAAAAGGGGTGAATGTCATAGAAGCCTCAAAAATTAATTATAAGCGCAGAAAGAAAAATCAGCGATTATAAGCGTTTGAAGAATAAAAAGGTTTGTACAAGCGAATTCGATATAACATTTTGTGTACAGCTTACATAGCAGATGAAAAACAGCAATCAACAAATCCCCTGTATAGCAACAATAATATTAACAAATGAATTGACACCATAAATCACCCTTTTGAGCGCGTCCATTTTGAAACTGTGTACAGGATACATAAAAGGTTTTGGTCAAGTGAATAGGTGGTACCTTCCCTATGTTTCTGCTAGATAAAATAATGTAGCTTCCCAAAACTTCCCTCAAGACGAAAAAAGACATGTTTGCAATACGATGGTTGTTTATCCCTTGGCATTAGCGAAAACCGCCTTCGAATTGGTCTTTGTACCACGTCGGGTGGGCTGACCTTTGAGCTATGCCACTATCCCAAATACCCTCTCAGCGCTGACCATATTTCCTCAGAGAAGTCTTGGGGCGCCACATTATACTAGGGTAGAGGATATGTAGCGTCCCGAAACTCCCTGAAGACAAAAGAAGACATAATACTCGGGCAGAATACATATATTCAGCACGGAGAATGTGTCTGGGCTACTGTTATGGCCCCAAAGGCCAGCCCACCCAGCGAGGTACAAGGGGCTAATTTAAAGTACGAAAGTGGCGCCTCACCAGTACAGAGGGATAAACTACTATCGCACTGCACATATATATTCAGCACTGAAAAGGTATTTTGGCTAGTGCATATCCCGAAAGCCAGCCCACCGGACTTGGAGCAAAGGCCAAGTCCAAAAACCGCTTCAGGCCAATACCGAGAGATAAGCAACCATTGGACTACATGAAACACGAAGTGGTGGTAAAAAACGCTGTAATCGAAACAGAGTGGCAAAATGACTTAACACGAAGCATTAATCACAATAAGCTGTTATAAATCGTGTATTTTATCAACTATCTCTGTTGAATGGCCAATTTTCTTGAGCCTCGAAATTGGCACGCAAGGTAAGCTTGTCGAGCTCCATAAAGTTTTAGGCAGGATAGAGATAGTGCATTTCTATGCTCTAATAAGGATTTATAGCAGTGCAAAGCTCCAAATGCAAGGAACTGTGGAGCTCTGCAAGTGACATTGAAGCCAGATTGCCAGTAAATGGATCGATTACCGACCGCCGTCCGTAAGTAGCTTTAAAAATACCAACCGCTATTCCGTAATCGCAGCAGAGATTTAAACGAAAGACGAATAAAAAGCAATGCTTCAGAGCAAAAATTTGTGTGGTATTTTAATGTCTTGTTTACATAAACTTTTTTGCAGGGAGAATGTGGGCTTTGTCGAATGCTATTTTTCTTTAGTCTTTAAAGAGGTCTCGCGGTTTATCATGTATATGTATCAACTAGACACCCTAGGTTAGCCTAAAATTTTGCCTAATATGAATAATTTTGTAATACTTGCGTTGTTTTAATGTACCTTTCAGGGAGGAAGCAAGCAGAAATTTGGAATCTCGTGATCGGGTTGTCCTCCCCCGCACCTAGTGACTACAGCTCCCCTCCTTCTTGAATATTGAATTTTCCCTCCCCATCTTGTCACCTTTAATAAAGATGTCCAAAACGAATTAACCGGGCTTGTCTAAGAATGTTAGGAATAGGGGAGAAAAAACCGATGAGTCTCGCTTCACAATTTGACCTAAATGATTATATTTCTGCGTTAGTTTTTGCAAAATTACTTCACTTTATTTAAATTGACAAGGCCTTAAGGAATAGAAATAGGAGTCCATTTCCCATCCACTCAAACTTTTATTCCATTTTAGCCTACTTGTTCTGTAAATTCAGGCGTTCCTTCCCATACAGGATTTTACTTCTACTACTCCCATGAAATTTTGTGCTTGCGGAAAGGGTTGTTCCGATATTCAATCCCTGATTCGATGCGTAAGTTGAATTTTGAACTTCAGTTTTGGTCTAGAATAACACGTGTCGACCTGTAAAAAGTGGAAAAGCGAGTTTCACTCAAGTCTCAATTGCTGCGGATAAACGCAGTTTGGATATGGTTAGGGATTCAACTTCTACTCTCAAACCAAAGAAAGATTTAGTTTCCTCTGGCTTATTGGGTTTGGATAATGGTGCGAATAAATGCGACTCTTCTATTTCAAATCTTGGTACTGGCCTTCAATCTGCAGCCGAGTGTTCCATTCCAGTTGATAGGGTTTCATGTGTTGACGGTGAACGTCGGTGGTCAGAAAATCGAAACCCATCTTTTTTTGGGAAGGTTGATTGTGGTTCTGTGATATCTCTTGGTTCCTTAACAGTTCCCACATTACATGCCCAGAAAAAGGCACCTTCAGGTGAATGTGCAACTCCACACTGTCGTGGTTTTCACAACTTATCTTTACGCGTCATATCACCTGTAGAGGCTAAGTTCACCTTACTGACTACGTCCGCCTACTCTGAAGGGACTAAGTCAGATGCTCAGAATTCCAACGAGCCAATAAACTTGGACAATAAGGTACCTGACTGCACGGAGAATTCGGTTGGTTCTACCACATTTCCAGGACATTCCAGTATCAACTTCTCAGCCCCTTGCCCTCTTTATTGCGACGCACATTCTAGTAGCGGTTCAGAAGCCTTTGAAGATCTGCTGACGCGACTGAGAACGGATGAACCAACAAAACAGGTTCGGTCTAAAGGGCACTCTGATTTTTCATTCGTCGTTTCTGACGGTTCATCATCATCTGACTTAGATTCGAATGATGGCCCAAGTTTTTATCATCGGATCGACAACACTAATTTGAGGGAATCGATGAAGTAATCGTTATTTGAATTTTTATTATATTATTTAGTGCTAGGCGAACGATACCTGTGAGAAATAAACTACGATTTGATTCCTCTTCTGATAGCAGTGATGGCGAAGTGGGGAAGTCTTCTGCATTAGAATTGTCAGAAGGCGATGAATTTGATCAGCATCGGCAAGTCGACTTGTCACCTCCACCAATTGTGGATTTCCCACGAAGAAGCCGTCCACAGGGGGCTGAAAAGGCGTACGTTGCACACAGTTTTAATATCAGCATGGAGTAAATGTTTTTTCATCGTCATTTTCTTGTAGACCTCATTTTAATGCAATTGAAAATGTTCAACAGGTGAATGCTCCCACACTACCCTTCATATATTCACTGAGTTTAGTGGATCGTATGTCTCCTTCGCAAACGCCCGTTCGTAGACGTCATCCCAGTGCTGAAAGGTTTGTAGAAGTTTTATTTCAGTGGTGGTGGCACTCCTACTTCATACCTATTTTTTGTTGCTTTAAGTTTACAAGTTGATGTTCATGGCTTAACTATGTAATCAAACGTCCCCACGAATTAGTTCTGTGTCCCCCAACTTCAAAATTCCTAGAGTACTTATCACGGTAGTTGGAATGTTTTTTTTTTCAAAATTTAAAATCCAAATTGTTTTTATGAGACATTCAAATGCTAGTCGTTGGTGTTTTGGCGAGTACACTAGATTTCAAAATATATCGCTAAGCCTTTGGATCATGTTTCTGACTTTGATGCTTAGCTACTTGTGTACTTTTTATTTATTAACATATTAATGACGGCTTCACGTACGCATTTATGTTTAGGTTTGTGAATAATTTCAAGAAGAACCGTGAGGAGCTTGCAAACCGTCTTTTGACCTATTTTAATGAAGTCATTTTTGAAAATCAGGTAGCTTTTTACATAACCTTGCTTTCTTTTCTGATTTTCATCTCTATTGTTTGTATAGATACGTAACCTCGACGAAAGCACTTTACTCGAAATATGTCATGTAAATTTAATAATAATGGAATAAAATTCTTACATACCGCCATAGAAAGCTTTACCATTATTAACAAATAGCAGTTGGTTTGATTGATTATCTTGGTTAAGCTTCCAGGAGAACTTCGAGTAGTATGGAATGAGCGGCTTCTCAAAACGGCTGGCCAATGTGTTTACCTAAAGCGAAATATCAAACACGCAGACGGCTCAGTAACTTCGGTGAGATTATTCTCATACTTTGGTAACCTTTGGTTTGGCTCTATGCCAGGAATAACACTTGACCTGACTTTGGCTTTATTTTTTCGTAATACCGTCATGTGGGTGTCATTCCGGTTCCGTTTTTCTAACCATTTTGTAATGGTCTTATTTTGAGGTGAAAAGCGTTAAATCATTGAGAGATTTTGAATAAGACTATGTTATTCCGTCGACTTTATATTCAAAGTGGCTTTGCTAGTCTTCTACCCACGGCAATTGATGCACTCAACATTTGTGGCTCCCGAAGTCAACGGCTTTAGTTTTGAGCGAACTTAAAGGTGAACGAGTGGATTTATTAAAGCCAAATGCTTGGTTTGTCCCTGAAATCGTCTGAATTTCATAGTCTCTTTTGCACCTCTCGGTCCGTGAACCCCCCTAGAATATCAAGTTTTTTTTGTGGTCCAACTCTCAGCTAATG